GCCAAGGGAGACATTTTGCGGTCAGATGCAAGTGCAGCTCTGAATGTTGGTGTTCTCCATCTTGTACCCACATTGGATGTATTTCCGCTGTTAGAAGATCCAAAGATGTAAGCCACAGTCATCCAGTTCTCTATAACAATTATTGCAATTTTGAAATATAAGGGTACCTGCAGTAAATTCATTATGGAAGCTGGAGGCACACTTTTGGTACTGTAAAAGGTCCAAAAGGTTGGGTGAATAATGGGTAATTTGCCTCAAAAAGCTAAAGAAAGCATCAAAGTCATCACTTCTCAAAACATTTTTAGGCAGAAGTAATTGAGATACTTTAGCATATTATCTAAATATTTGAAATTGCAGTCTCCATTTTTTTTAATATAAAGAGCTGCACTGCACCCCAGCCAAACAGAGGTCTTGATTTGAACTTAAGAATCATCTTGTGTTAGCTCAGGGTTAAGAAATATGAGCTCTTTCACCGAATCACCTAAGCAGCTCTTACTGTATTTACCAATTAAAACAATAGTAGTCTATCTATAGTTCTATACCTTTTTTCTGACATTGTGGATCAACTTATTTAAAGCATTTTTATCCTACATATACATGCCAAAATTGCTTGAGGACAAGTGGTTTTATTGTGCATAAGCTTGCTGATGGTCTGATGGAACAATTGCCATGTGCAGCTCAATTTTAGATCATGCGTAAGTTGTAATATATTATCTGTATTGCAGGTATGAACCAAACACGATTGATCTCGACCTGAATGAGTACAAGTATTATTTCTGCTTCCCCTATTTCTAGATATCTTGTAGGAATTGAATCATTTGATGATATCTGAGATGTACAATGCCAGGTACTGGTTCAAGATTTTGTCAGACCATTTGCCTGACCTTGTGGACAAGGTATGGTGTACTTCTTGCAATAACCTTGTATAACTTACGAGATAAGACACCAGAGTTTTCTTTGACAATATGGCTTAGTGATAATTATTTTTTTCATGCTCCCCTCCCTCCATATGAGTGTGCATGTGTGCTGCTACCTATCTCATCCTGTTCCTAAAACAATGTCCCATTGGGTCCTCATAAGTTATAGCTAAATACAAGCCCCAATAACATGCCACCAGTTTGCAGTATTTTTTTTATTGCTTTTGTTGGTTTACACCTAAGAATGATTATACTCACTCAAATGTTCCCACAAACTCAACATTTCTTATTAAGAAAATTTGGCATTATAACTAGTAACAGGTCAATCAATATTATACGTTATAATTTATTTGTTAGCAATTTATGAATACACAAGTAACTGTTTATGTTGGAATCTCCACCTCAATTCCTCTTGTGAATGTGTGAAAAATGTTCTTTTTTGTACTAATGTGCGCATGTTATTGTTGGTAGGCGGTTGCTAGTGAAGGTGGGACTGATGATGCCAAAAGGAGGGGTGACGCATTCGCACATGCTTTTTCTGCTCATTTGGCAAGGTACGCAGTTGCCATTACATGACATTAGTTAGTACGGAGTATATTTCAGTTTTCTTCATTCAAAATCGAGCATTGATAATCTGTTAGTCTGTAAAGATTGATATTGTAAAACTCATTACACTATGTCACTTAGCTTCCTAACTCTTTTGGTTAAGTTTAGGTTGATGGAGGAGCCTGCTGCTTATGGGAAGTTTGGTTTAGCCAACCTGTTGGAGCTGAGAGAAGAATGCCTGAGAGAATTCCAGTTTGTCGATGCATATGTTAGCATTAAGCAAAGGTTAGTTCCTGTCTTTCTCGCTCTTTATGTGTGTACGTTCATGTGTTCATGTGCTTTTATCTAATCTTACGGTTTTAATTGTGTGTGAAGGGAAAATGAAGCTTCACTGGCTGTTTTACCTGATCTTCTGATGGAACTTGATAGTATGAATGAGGTAGGAGATAGCAGGGCTTGTCATTCAGGCGTCATTCTGCTTAGCTCAGCACCCAACAGAATTGATCTGAATATTTGTTGTTGTGCAACTATGTTTTCAGGAAGCTAGATTGCTTGCACTAATCGAGGGTGTCCTTGCTGCAAACATATTTGATTGGGGCTCTCGAGCTTGTGTGGACCTTTATCACAAGGGAACTATAATAGAAATTTATCGCATGAGCCGCAAGAAGATGCAACGTCCTTGGCGGGCAAGTATTCCAATTCTGACCTTTTAAATGTTATATTTGTACTGCAAGATTTACCCAAAGTTTCAAATTACTTGCAAACTTCTTTTTTATAATTGCTTTGCTGTGTTTATATTTTTGTCTCTTATTTCAGATTGATGACTTTGATATGTTTAAAAAGAGAATGCTTGCTGATAAGAAGGGCCAACCATACAAAAGAGCACTGCTTTTTGTTGATAACTCGGGTGCTGATGTGGTCCTTGGAATGATTCCTTTAGCACGGGAATTATTACGCAATGGAACTGAGGTATAAGTTAAGAAAAACAATAAGCTAAAGACAAGTCGCCCTTTTGTTATCTTTATGCACATTTGTGTTCAAATTATAGGTAACAGACATGATGCTGTTTCAAGAGATTTAATCATGGAAACAGGAAAGTTTGGATATTAACAATGTATTTAATTAACATTCCTGTGTTCCTGCACATCAAAGTACAGTGAATGATAGATTGGGAGATTGTCCTTTATAACCTAGAATTGAGATGACTTATAAATTTTACCGGCCCTGTGAAATATTCCTTCCGTTTATAAACATGTCGTTTTAGACATTGACATGGTTTCCAAGATGCAAAGTTGACCACTAATTTCTATTTTAGTATATTTGTATAACCCAATAAAATTGTAATATTATGAAAGTGGTTTTCGAGACAAATGTACATATCATTTTCACGCATCCAACTATTAAATGTAAAAAAAAAATCACACACCTTTATTATAGTCCATTTTAATATTATTTGAGTTTAATTGTATCAGATCTGATATCCATACAGTTGACTTGAGCTGGTAACAAAATGTTGATTTTGTAGGTGGTTTTGGTTGCAAATTCATTGCCTGCTTTGAATGATGTTACCGCTAATGAGCTTCCAGGAATTGTGGCTGAAGCTGCGAAGGTACAAATGAATATAAATTCTATTTTCTTGTCCATCCTATTGTTATCTTAAGTTCTGTTGTTGCTTGTAATGTACTACAGCATTGTGGTATACTTCGGAAAGCTGCAGAGGCAGGTGGATTGATCTTTGATGCCATGGCTGGCATCCAAGATGATCTGAAAGATGAACCAGTATCAGTTCCCCTTATGGTTGTTGAGAATGGATGTGGCAGTCCGTGTATTGATTTCCGGCAGGTTAGCTCAGAACTTGCTGCTGCAGCGAAAGATGCAGATTTGGTAAGATAGACTGTAGCTCTTTGAACTGAATGCATTTTCTCATGTAAAATAAATTGGAAAGTTATGTGGTTTGATATATCGGTTGTTGTTTTAAATGTTGTGCAGTTAATCTTAGAGGGCATGGGGCGATCTCTGCATACCAACCTCAATGCCCGTTTTAAGTGCGATACTCTGAAGGTACTTGTTTCTGCAAACAGCTGATTTATTGATGCGCACAATTACAAACTTGTCATTCCCTTGGCTAAATACCAGTACAAAGTAACTCTGCTGTAATTATTGTACTGAATATCTTGGAAAAAAATGTTGAATCAACAGTGTGACCAGTATCGGATCTAGAATTATTTTAGAGCCCGGGCAAACTTCACTATAGCTAGTATTTATTACCGAAATTATATCTCAATTTTTCCTAATTACATGGAATTTTAGTGGATTATCCGCTGACGAGCCTGGGCAGCTGCCTGGGGTCGCCAGGTGGTACATCCACCACTGAGTGTGACCATGGTAGGGATGTACTTACGATAGAGACAATTCTCAAATGCAACCATCAGAGGAAAAATACAATAACCTTGAATGAAATATGCACCATTTGGTCAACAGCCACTGCGTTGCTGAATGCTGACACTTTGCTAGCGACCACTGCACTGCCAGAGCCCTGCTTGCACGCCTCAGTCCTCAATCGACCTCCCAGCATGCCAGCACCAATCTCTGCCCAGATTTGGGTAGAGAGTGGTGGTGGTGGAGCAACACCAATGGTGTGGGAGTGGAGGTATAAGAGTAAGAAAGTCCGGAAGTGGACAATATGGGGGAAGGGGAGTGCTTAGTAGGAGGAAAAGGAAAAATATTTTAAAACAGAACTTTTAAGGTCTAACAGCGTAGTTGCTTTTTGAAGTAATGGTTCTGGCATCTATGGGTTGAACCCAACTGGAAATTTATTGCCTTACTTGTCAGTATGTTCGGGATTGATAAGAAGGCTACATTAAATCTTTGAATAATTGAATTGTGGTGTCATACTTAAATCTTGTGTGTTTTTACAAGGTTAACAAAATGACTTTATTTGCAGCTGGCGATGGTCAAGAATCAGAGATTGGCAGAAAAACTTTTCAATGGAAATATATATGACTGCATCTGTAAATTTGAACCTGTTCCTTGAACAATGCGGAAGAATGTGCCGTGGATTTGGTTTGCTCTAGCACAGAAGCAGCTAATAACAGGTACTGTGACACTGTCAGCACATCACTTTATCTTATATGGCACTAAAATTGTTTGCTGAAATGACGACTTCGATTTGTGCAGAACCTAGATAATAATTTGTTCTTACCAGTTTTATCATTTTACTGTAATTTGCAGGTACATCTCACTTAATCTGTAACCAGTGGGGTCATGGTATTAGCAGTGTCACATATCCAAGCAAAAAGCCATAAGAACAAATTTCTTATATAAGAACTAAAAGATCCTCTCAATGTACTAAATGCTCCTTTAGATGGTAAAGAATCAAAGAAGTGTTGTTGACTTGTTGTGAATATTGTTATCAAAACAATTTTTCTGAACATGGAGTAGCGACATAATAAAGGTTTTTAAAGAATTTGTAGAAAGCATACAAGAGGATTCAGCATTTGGAAGAACATGGATTCAATATGCTTGCAAGTTGCATCCTCGAAGTTTGAGAAATAACAATCAACAGATGCAATATTGAAGTTTCATATGTTGAGGAATAACAGAGAGAAACACAAGGGGCAAAAAAAATGTAATGGGGGCAATATATAGCAAGTTGATTCGCAAATCAACACCATTACAAATACAGGCAAGTTCTAAGCAAAGTTGATGTTATAAGCCTTGCTCCCGTCCGCCCTGAAGATGCCGAAGTGCCTCTCGAACTCGGCGCCGGGCTTGCCGTCCTCGTCGTACAGGTCGAACAGGAACACCTCCACGGGCACGCCTGGCCGCCGCGGCGTGCCGGCGCCGCGCGCCACCCGCTCCACGATCTTGGCGTTGTAGGCGGCGGCGTTCTGCGGTGTCGCCGCCGGGTGCCCCGCCGTCGGCCACCCGGTCTCCGTCACCGCGATCGGCACGGCGCCGAACCCCTCCCTGTCGAGCGCGGCCGCCAGCGCGTCCACCGTCGCGTCGAACATGTTGGTGTAGACGAGCGCGCCGTCGCTCACCGCCGGCGCGCCCGCGCCGAACAGCGCGTAGCCGAGCTGCACGTTGACGGGGTCGTTGACGTAGCTGATGAACGGGTAGGTGTTCACCATGAAGGGCGCGCCGGTGTCGGCGAGGAAGCGCAGCATGGGGCGGAGGACGTCGAGGGAGGCGGCGTCGAACGCGCCGGCGGATGGCGGGTACGACGAGGCGAGCACCGACGAGGCGTGCGCGGACGAGACCTTGACCTTGTCGCCGAGGCCGAGGGAGACGAGCGCGGCGTGCAGGTTGTGCATGGCGGGCACCAGGTGCGGCGCGTAGAACTGGTTGTTGTACAGCACCTCGTTGCCGACGGCGAGGTAGCGGACGCGGTCAGCGGGGGCGTGGGCGAGCACGGCGGACTGCAGCCACCGGAGCGCGCCGTCGGGCCCCGCGGCGGAGAGGAAGGTGAGGTTCTCGTTGGGCACGCCGACCATGAGGTCGATCCCGGCGGCGGCGAACGCCGGGAGCACCGCCGGGTCGGGGAGGAAGAGCCGCGCCTTGGTGATCCCGTTCTGCCTCAGCAACGCCGCCGCGGCCGCCGGAGGTGGAAGGTTGCTGCCGACGCGGCCGTGGCAAATGCCGATCTTGCCCGGGTCGCCGGCCACCACCACGGCCGCCGCCGCGAGCAGCGCGGCAGCGAACACGGCGACGTGGCGCCAACACAACGCTGCTCTTGTCGCCATCGGAATTGACGTTGCCAAGGCAAGACGCAAGACTGCGTTATTGTTGCTGTTTTTATTTTTATTTATTTATGGTGCGTTAGATTTGGTTGTCGCTGTCGCTGTTTATATAGATGTTGCTAAGAATAGGAGAGGAGGAGGAGACGTTGAGATTGTTGGTGAGAATCTAAAAGAGAGTGTGGATCTGTTGCTTTATGGTTGCCGAGGCTGGACGACAGGACGGGTAACCGTTGGCATAGCCGTTGGTTTTCGAACAATGTCGTGGTGCATTTGGAGGGAGTATGACCATGAGTATACACGGCCACGGGTGGGTCACACAGCCTTGTTGCTCTAATCATGTCGAATAATCCTTGTGTCGTTCAAGAATCGGTAGAAAAAATCCTTGGGTCATTCGTTAGTAACGTCGCGTCTTGTGAGTGATTAAAGCGAGCGTTTTTGTGCCTGCGTCGCGTTTACTACTGCTGCTACTACTAGGACGTTCCTTTTTCGAGTTTTCATCCCACACGGCAGGACTGGTTGGTCGGTTGGCAGCCGGGACGAGCGACTGCGCGTCGTGCGCCGCGCGAGCACGTTAGCACGCACGCACGCACGCGAACCACGCCTCCCATCCACCCGATCAGGTAGACGCAGGGCATCAGCGCGTGCGCGTCACTGCTCACATGCACTGCAGCATTGTCGCTGGCTTGCTCCTGCTCCCGATCAGCCCACGGCGCACGGGGCCTAGCCCAACCCGTGCAGCTCCTCGGCCAGGCAGAGAGGCCGCGGCCCAGCCAGGCCGATGCGGGTAGTGGACTGGTCCACCGCGGCGTCCGCAGCTTCCTTGCACGACGACCATCTCACGTTGGATTTTTCCACCGGTTTCGCACTTTCGCTCGCGCTCTGCCTCTCTCGTTGAAAACGGTGGCAGCATCATCGTTTTTCACGTTTCCATCTTACTGTATAAAATTCTTAATTTTTCTAATTTCTTTCGGAATTATAGTGCAATCATCACTACCTAGTTAAATTGATAAATATATAAAGAGCTCCGATCGATCCACAATCATTTTCGTAGAAATAATATCGTTTTCATCATTTAAGGCCCCGTTCTTTTCTTGTTTTGCTGTTGCAAGATTATTATTTCCTATCAGCATGCTTCTCAGATTATTAAATGTGGTGTTATTTGAAAAACTTTTTATATAAGAGTTTCTTTAGATAATCTAAATAAATCTATTTTTTTAGTTTGTAATAATTAATACTCAATTAATCATACTCTAATGGCTTGTCTCGTTTTATGGACTACCGAGCACATTTGAACTAAGTCTAAGTCATTAACTTGCAATCAAGGGGTCAAACCTATTGAGAACAGGGAACACTCTACTTCGCATCGGGGAATCCGAGCCGTCCAAAGCCCAGTTATACTATAAACAAAGTCGCATCCACCTCACCAGTGATTCCTGGATTCCTCCTCACTCCACTCAACGCCCATCAACATGGCCTCGGCGCCTCGCTCGCCCTCCAACATATCCTCTTCCTGCTGCTGTTGCTCATCGCCGTGGCAGCATCTTGTTTTTACTTGCATGCTTATAGGGACAGCAAAAATAACCACAAATAAAATATCGAACCGAACTGATCGAGACTGAAACAGCTTCAAACATAGGGTTGTTTTGGTTTGAAGCCCTACAAAAATTTTGGTAATGCCAAATCTTGAGCAAGTTTGGCACTACCAAAATTTTGGTAAAGTTGTGTTATTTCTAACTCTATTGAATTAGTAAGATTTGGCCTTAATCCAAATAGCTAACAAATACTATTCAAAACTACCAAATAATTGGTAGGGTAATAATTGGCTTCAATCCAAACATGCCTATAATCCTAACTCATTCAATTCACCCCTTCTTCCTGGCTTTCCTTCCTCCTCGTCACACCGCATGCCACCCCTCCTTCCTTGTGTGGTTGAACCACGCCACTCCATGCCCCCTTTACTTCAATGGCAATAGGCGCCCACATGTTTCTGGCGGCGACGCTGCCTCCACTCCAATAGCGACGGGCGACAACGGATACCAACTTGGAGCAGAAGCGTCTACATACAATAGGATTGGGGCCTGCAAATCCAACGCCGCCATAAAGACCACTAGCCCAGGTGCCTTCGACGAGCCGGGTCGGTCTGCCGCTCTTATGGATCAACGTGCCATGAATTCTTTTAGTTTTTTTGAATGGGGATAACTAAAGATTTCTATGATTTGTTTGTGATTTTTTAGTGACCAGTGTGATTATTTCCATCTCAGATTTTAGTTATGACCGAAGATCAAACCAAAACGGCCGAAACCGAATAGCTCAGTATTTATTACTCCCTCCATCTACTTTTGATAGTCATATTTCTAAATCTGAAAAATTTATTTTTGATAGGCATATTTCAATCCAACAACCTATTCTCTTAATAACTTTCTTAGATTTAATGCGTGATTATCCATTCTTCCACACATGATTGGCTACATGGGCATTGAGAAATATAAATATTAATAAATTGTTTGTTTACGAGGAATGACTAGTAGCATGTTTAAATGGATGATAAATAGAATTACTTATCATTGGTCTGTGTGCCAAGATGAAGAAATTTTCAAAAACCACCCCTACTCGCGCCCACGGCTTTCACTCGCTCCGTCGGTTAAAAAGTCGTTAGTTAACCTGCAATTATCCCATTGTTTCTTTAGGAGAAGAGATAATGGCGTCGGTACATAATACATATGGATTTTCCGGTTTCAAACCCACCGAAAACAAGGAGCACCCTGCATCGCATCGGGAAATCTGAGCCGTCCAAAATCCCTCCTCCTATAAACAAAACCGCATCCACACCACCGTCCATTCCGGAATTCCTCCCGAGTCCAGTCCACTCCGCGACCGCGCCAACATGGGCCTCGCCCACCGGCGCCTCCTCCTCCTCCTCCTCCACCTGCTGCTGCTCGTCGCCGCGGCGGCGGAGGCGGCCGCCGCCGGAGCAGGGAGGAAGGAGAAGGGTATCGGCGGCGGTGGGGGGCTGCGGTTCCGGGGCGGGAGCGGGACGTTCAAGGTGGTGCAGGTGGCGGACATGCACTACGCGGACGGGCGGCGGACGGGGTGCCTCGACGTGCTCCCCTCCGAGGCCGCCGGCTGCTCCGACCTCAACACCACCGCCTTCCTCTACCGCCTCTTCCGCGACGAGGACCCCGACCTCGTCGTCTTCACCGGTTGGATTCCTCTGCCCCGCCCACCCAATCTCCTCCTCCTCCACCCATTCCTTGTTAGTGCTTCGATTAATTAATTAATTATTCAACTATGAGTAGTTTATTCTGATCAATTTTCGTATATCCCACCTAACTTCTTTGTCGCCTTTTCCTACGAATCTTGGTTAACAAATCCATTTCTGATACCGATTACTCAGCAGTTTGTTTGCCACTCTAGCAAAGTAACCCGCGTGACCCAACGATCTTACGAGTTTTTTTTTTTTGCAGCAGTAATTTTAGGTACGTAATATTGCATGTAACATAGGTTTAATGATTCTCGAACAGTAAATGATTGGTGAACCGGCGAATCCGTTTGCAACTTCTCTGAAAATATTACCCGAGTAGTACTTTTTCTCTGAAAATATTCTCGTAATGGTTTATTGACAGTACAATAAATTCGTATTATATGTGCTAGTGAGGTCATTAGCGAGCTGAATTTGCTGTACACTGGTTCATACCTCCTCTGACATTTTTGCAGAGGAAGTGTAGTTTCTGTGAACTTGATACGTACTCGTACTAGTAGTACTAAAGTACAACAAGAATGTCACGGGTTTCCCTTTCCGAAGTGATAAAGATGTGTGGGCCGGGCCACTGAAGCTCATTCTTGGATTGGATTTCAAGAATTCTCATCTGTAGGGTGGGGGTTGCCATTCCCAATCATGCAGTGAGGTCTAGGTCTAGATTGTTGATTGGTCCATTAGATCACTACCACGATGGGATGAACTGGTCTCGTGATGGCTACATCCATGATACACTTGGACAATTACTGCACACCTCCATCTGATCGAGCTAGCAGCCGTACTCCCTCCATCCTAAAAAAAACTCAATTCCTGAGTTTTCGCGTCTAACATTTGACCGTTCGTCTTATTTGAAAAAAATATGAAAAAATTTAAAAAGATAAATCATGCATAAAGTATTGTTCATGTTTTATCATCTAACAATAATGAAAATAGTAATCATAAAAAAAATTTATATAAGACGGACGATCAAACGTTAGACACGAAAATCGAAGAATTCGGTCTTTTTGGGACAGAGGGAGTAGAGAAGAACAACAGTACAAATGTTGCAGCCCTTGTGATCTGATCAGCTCTTGATCACTGTCCTGTTTTCGTCGCTTTGTTTCACGGGTAACCTTGGTTGATGTTCCAAAGCTGCTACTTTTGCAGCGTTTGGATGCAGCCACTGCTAGCTGTTTTTTTTTTGTCTGTTTTTCCCTTTTTGGGTGCAGACAATACATCAATTTAGTAGCATTTACATAATTACGTTTTTTTCATATAAAAATGGCTTGTTCAGTTACTCGTATTCAGAACGATGATGGCCATAGTTCATATACTTCACTGATTATTGTTACTTTATTTCCCTGTTTTAAAGACTATGTATTGTTTGGTGATGCTATTTGGCAGGTGATAATATCTATGGCTTTGATGCAACCGATGCGGCCAAGTCTATGGATGCAGCAATCGCCCCAGCCATTAACATGAACCTTCCTTGGGCTGCGGTGATCGGAAACCATGACCAAGAAGGTACGCTGTCACGCGAGGGTGTGATGCGTCACCTTGTGGGCATGAAGAACACCCTTTCTCGCTTCAACCCAGAAGGAATAGAAATTGATGGTTACGGAAATTACAATTTGGAAGTTGGTGGGGTTGAAGGAACATTGCTGGCTAACAAATCAGTGCTCAACCTCTATTTTCTTGACAGTGGTGACTATTCTACGGTGCCTTCCATCGGTGGATATGGTTGGATCAAAGCTTCACAGCAATTCTGGTTCCAGCAAACCTCTTCGAATCTCCAGGTGAACTTTAAGTTGCACATTGTACACACACAAAAAAAGAATCACCAGGTGGAATAAGTTGACATAATGACAATGTTGTGAAATGCAGACAAAATACATGAAGGAGGAACCGAAGCAGAAGGCGGCAGCGCCTGGTCTTGTGTACTTCCACATCCCATTGCCAGAGTTCAGCAGCTTCACATCATCCAATTTCACAGGAGTGAAGCAGGAGGGTATCAGCTCGCCATCGATCAACTCTGGGTTCTTCGCCAGCATGGTGGAGGCTGGGGATGTGAAGGCCGCCTTCATAGGGCATGATCATGTGAACGACTTCTGTGGAAAGCTCAATGGCATTCAGCTGTGCTATGCTGGTGGATTTGGGTACCATGCGTATGGGAAGGCCGGGTGGTCGAGGAGAGCGAGGGTGGTGTCCGTGCAGCTTGAGAAGTCGGACGGCGGCGAGTGGCGAGGTGTGAAGTCCATCAAGACATGGAAGAGGCTTGATGATCCACATCTCACCACAATTGACTCAGAAGTCCTCTGGAACAGAGGCTCCAATGGTATGACATTCTCCTGTAGAGTCTGCATGACTGTGAATCCATGATGGTTTTTCCAAGCTAGATAATTATATCTGATTAAAAATGAGTAAATTTTGGTGGATGTGGTCTTTCATAGTAGTGTACCATCATTGTTTGTTAAACTACTTTTTGAACAGGACTACAACAGTTTTTAGACTTCAATGGTATGGCATTCTTCTACATGACTATAAATCTATGATGCTTATTCAAGCTTATGATTATATCTGATTAAAAAATGAGTAATCATAGTGAATTGTAATATTTCATAGTAGTGTACCATCAATTTTTATTGACCTACTTTTCGTTTTCGGCACTACTACAATTAATCTTAAAGAGTTACCAATTGACATTTTGAATATTTGGCAGGAAGGCGCAAGAAGAATCCTGATGGAAAGATGAGATAGTGATATAGATGGGAAGACGGGGATAGTGAAATGTTGCAACGTACTACACGTTATGATGTGCTGTTTGCCAATTTGTTTTACAAAATTTTCGATTTATGTAAATGAACAAAAACATGGTACACGACACGGCATGCACCCTTTTCGCGGTTGTAATTCTCACCGAGAAAACAGTGAATTTTAGTAAAAACAGTTACTGTAGTTTTAGTAAAAATGTCGCAATTTGCCAATGGGATCAAATAAACGGCAGCTGGAATAAAAAGAGAGCCAAACTGGTGGACACAATACACTGAAAACAAAACATTTATTCAACTATAATCTTATTCGTGAGCCAGTGGGACAAGATAGGTCAACGACATTTTGAGGAACAGCCTCGAGGGCTCTTTGATGATTCCTTCTTGTGGTATGATATGACATATTGATTTTTCCCTAAATAGATTACATATACAGCCAAATCAACAACAGATGCGTGTACATCAGACAGTATCCCTCTATAAATATATGCAGTTGGGAACGCAGGCACAAACAGAAGTGCAGAACTCACATCTGTTTTGTATAACTCGTATACAGATTCCGAATGTTGCTCAACCGAGATGGATTGGCAGCAGCGCTGCAAGCCTGCGTTTGGCGTGAGATTCTACCTCGTGGAATAGTTGCTCTTTCATGGAAATCTGAACCTTGTTTTATGGATGAATCTCCAAAATAGGTACATAACCAGCAGGAAAGTATACCAGATCAAACGCCATCTTCAGATTGGTTGATGCTATAGCTTGGAGTGTGGTCTCAGAGGGCATCCACCTTCAAAAGCATGGTCAAGTACTTCCTCGATGCGCTTCACAAGCAGAATCTACAGTAGCAGGTCGAAGTAAAGTCAGCAATAGACATTTTTTAGACAGCTACATTGCACCCAAAAGGGAAAACTCTATTTACTGGTCATCTACGATTCAAAACATACGTCTACTATATGGTATCGGAAATTTCTTCCAATGCTACTTTATCTATGATATATTTTTTAACTCCGAAACAATTTGTGCACCATACATATCAACTATATGCTCAGGGCCTTAGAGCATCTCTGACTGTCGAAATACATAGAGCAAAGCTCTCAATACATACCTCCAAGCCAGAGAGAATGGGTGCTGGAACCTCAGCCAAGTCCTTCATGTTTCTTTCTGGCAATATTACTCTCTTGATGCCATATCTATGTGCTGCAAGTACCTGAATTCCAGAAAAAAACATTTCAAGTTAGTCAAAGAGCAGAGCAGAGAAAATGGTTAAGCTTTCATCCTTCTGAAGTCAATTAAATAACATGTCAGGAACCTATAGGGCAGTACCTTATCCTTAACACCGCCAACTGGCAACACAAGGCCCCTAAGAGTCATCTCTCCCGTCATAGCAGTGTCAGCTCTGACTTTTCGGTGGCTAAATAGTGACACTAATGATGTTACCAATGTCACTCCAGCAGAAGGACCATCCTTTGGCACCGCGCCAGCAGGAAAATGTATGTGAATATCACGACTCTCCAATAAGTTAATATCAGAAGTAGGTGACAGATTAAGGTCAGCAGCTCTTGCTCTCACCTGTCAAAACCAAGGAAATGATGAGTACCACTATGCAAAACTAGGCACCAAAACATTGTGTTTTCTTCTTATGTAATATTGGAGTTTCATTCCAGTAACAATAATTGGAGAAAAATAACTTCAAAGGGCGATATCAGAGAACCAGCAGAAAATAAACAAAGCAGCATGATGCAACCAATGCATAGATAGGTGAAAGTTAAAGAAGATGCTTACCCATGTCAGAGCTAACTGTGCTGACTCCTTAATTACGTCACCAAGTTGCCCTGTCAGATGCAAATCACCCTTACCCACCATCGCTGTAGCCTCGACAAATTGTACCTCCCCACCAAATGAAGTCCAAACAAGCCCAACTGACACTCCTGGGCTCGCCACACGATCTGCAGCTTCGCTATCATCAAATCTTGGAGGCTGTAGCACAAATATAGCATATTACCATAAGTAAGACAAACAAAAAGAAAGAACTCTGTAGCTTCTCATAAGGCTATACTCAATACTCAAATGTTTAATAGCATACCCCAAGCACTTTTTCTAGCATAGCCTCATCAACAATCATGGGTGATGGATTCTCATAAGTATTTGATATGTCCTGGCCCATAGGAATAACTTCCATTTCAACTTCACCACCATCAGCAAGCCTAGAATCCAGTAGAGTTGTAGTAATTGGTTGTATTTCCTTGCCAAGTCTAAGCGCACTATCTTGCTCCGCAACCTTGACTGCAGCTGCACGGGCCAATGCAGCTAGGTTCCGCTCAAGATTACGTACACCAGCTTCTCGCGTGTATCTCTCAATGATGAGTCTGACCATAGCCTGGAGAAATGGCAAGCATGACGAAATACTCAGGAGTCAAGAACTTAACCCAAAAATGTAGCAGTTCATCAAAGTACTGCTGTTAGCAAAATATCGGAATGATGAGATCAACTCTATTATTTAGCAGAGCACAATCAGGCAGTGCCTACTGTTTCATCAAAGGTGCAAAAGCATGGTAAATAGTATGCATCTCCAGCTCTCCACATTCACTAATCTTGCATTGATTCTAGATCAAACTAAACTATTTTTAATCAAACAATATGCCGAATTTCTTTATAGGCAACAAAGGATGCAGCAGAAAACTGCATATCTTACCTCAGGAATCTGAAGATATGTGGAGCTCAAGCCATGCTGTTCCAGTACCCTTGGTATGAGATGTTTCATGGCTATTTTTAGCTTCTCTTCAGGTGTGTAACCTGGTAGCTCAATAACTTCCATCCTATCTAACAGAGGAGGGGGGATGGGTTGCATCCTGTTGGCAGTTGCAACAAATATGACCTTCGACAGGTCAAATGGAACATTCAAATAGCTGGTGAAAACATGTTAAGGAATTCTAAATGTATGATAATATAGATCATATATCAAGTAAAGAAATCTCTTCTCTAAGCATTGTGTAGTGTACGCAAGTTATAGGCAACCCAGAACATAGCATTGCAGATAATGGGGGAAATAAACTGTAACTATCCAACTAAATATGAAAATTGAGCGGTACATGAAAAACACAATAGAAAGATGTCCACAGGTAGTGATCCCCCCCAACTCCATTAAGAAAGTAACCAATTAATCAGAAAATGCTGTTCATTATCTGAATAATTTGAAAGGATACTGATCGTTGAACGTTTTATTCTGCTCAGGGTCAAGAACTTCTAGCAGCGCTGATGCTGGGTCCCCACGTACATCAGAACCAGTTTTGTCAATTTCATCAAGAAGCATCACTGGGTTGCTGACCGATACTCTCTGCATTTTTTTAATGGGCAGAATATGAATATAGCACAAGAGATTTCACTATTAATCCAAGACTTAAGTATATTAGAAACACAAAATGGTTTGTCAGGTGGAAATACGACATTAATAAGCAAAAGTAAAACAAGATTGGTCTGGTCAAAGAAATTGTAAGGTCATAAGTTACTCCTGAAATAAGAAAAACAAGTGATTAAACCTTTAGTCCATCAATGAGACGTCCTGGCATGCTTCCAATGTATGTTCTTCGGTGACCCCTAATATCAGCCTCATCCTTTACACCACCAAGAGAGATTCTTATGAACTTCCTATTTAGTGCCTTTGCTATCGACGATGCTAATGATGTCTTTCCAACACCAGGTGGTCCCACAAAACACAGGACTGGACCTCTGGCATCAGGCTTAAGCTGCCAGTATTAACGTGCACCCATGAGAGAGAAAATACATGATATCATAAGCACATAAATTTATGCATGTGTACCAACCTTACGAACAGCCAAATATTCAATAATCCGTTGCTTAACCTTGGTCAGCCCATAATGATCACGGTCAAGACTCTCCTTTGCAGCTCTAAGGTCAAGCTCCCTCTCCTCACTGACTTTTTGCCAAGGAAGTTCAGCAAGAAGTTCCAAGTAGGTTCGAGAGCTGCTATATCCAGGTTGCTGAGGTTGCATCTTTCTTAGACGCCTGCAAGAAAAAACAACTAGATATAGGAACCGGCGGTACCACATGCCTGTACAATTGTACATTGAGAATGAGATGATAAGTTACCTTAACTCCCTTTGAGCATGCTTCCAAATATTAGCAGGCATTCCAGCATTCTGCATCTTCCTTTCCAATGCCGCTACATCATCCTCATCATCATCATTATCGCCAAGTTCCTCTTTGATAGCCCGCATCTGTGCATTAAAAGGGTTGATATCATATTGGAAACAAAACAATGTGGCACAAAAGAAGCAATGGAAACAAAGCAAATAAACTCCAACAAGATGTGAATCGTAAAAAAAGGGTTGTGCTCATCATGTATACTTTCAAACTTTCAAAAAACATGTAAGTATGATGAAATGTAACTTATACTGACATAATTGTTGAGAGCAAAAACATCAGCAGCCCGAAAATCCTGAATCTTCAAGAACAGAAAATAACATGATGGGCAAACAAACCTGCTGGCGAAGCAAAAACTCTTTCTGAGACTTTGATAGCTGACCCTCAACCTTTTGAGTTATTTTCTCAGCTACAAGAATTGACTGTTCATCACAAGGAAAGGAAATAAGTTAAAAACTACCCAATGTTTAAACCTTTGATGATGAAGTTATTAAAATTAAGGAAAACTAATTCACTAATCATAAATGTCTTCACCTGCAGGTGCCTGTCAACAAGTTCGGTTGCCTTGGAAAGTCTAACTTTTAAGTCAACTGAATCCAGCATTGACAACTGCTCCTCAAAACCTATTTCAAAGCTAGCCACAAAAATATCAGCTAGTCTGTACACAGGAACTGTCTCAAGAAGCACCTTAGTCCTACCAACTGTCTTCTGCTTCTGCAATTAGAAACAACATCATTGCCGTAAGTCATACATAACCTTGAAAGAAAAATGTCATGGATAACAGAAAGATGAGACTGCAGATCTGATAGTCACATTGGGAATATCTATTTAGGGTATAGCGCTCTGTTAAATTTCTTCACCTGTTCAAGAACGGAAATTAGTTCCATTGCAGTAGCTTTGAACTGCCTAGAAAGAGCAATGAGATCTGGGTCCTGCTCTGCGTGCTCCAACTCTAGCAAATTGCACAAACATTAATAATGTAAGTGTTAGAATTTGATATTAGGTGAATTCAAAAGGCACTTAACAAAGAAGGTACAAGAATAAACTAATATACCACCAAACTATCGGCATAACTACAATGGAAAGTGGAAGAAAAGGGTGGAGCTGTACAAAATAACAGCTACAACAGACTTATGACAATGTAGTGCAGGAAAATAGCAACAAAAATAAACTAATATTTTTAACAAACAAGATCTTACCCGTTTTTGTCATATCAAGACGTGAGACACGAGCGACATGATATGAACCTCTTGCACTGAGCTCTTGAACACTGAACCTACATAAACCTTCAAGGACGACAATATATGTAACCCTTCCACTTGGTTTCTCCACACCTCTGGAAAGGTGCAAAGCCCTAGCAGCTACTCCCCTATAGATGGACGGAATGAAAAAGTGTTACACACCTTTTTTTGGAGAAAGGGAGACAGGTAGGAAAACACAACAAAATTGACTAATTTCCAACAGTTCTCAATCAAATAATTGTGTCAAAGAAGAGTTGACCACTATCAACCAATCTTAACCCTCTTGCTTTATCTAAGCCCACTGCAAGTTAATGCAATGTCACACCAACGCATAGTGCGCCCAACAGAAAGAAAATTATTTGCTTCTATCAACTTATCAAGTGTTCATAGAATGTAATAAGAGCATGTGCCCACACTAACACTAGTTTGTTTACCTTTAGTAATCGTATGCTATTGTTTTCCCACTATTCCCGACATATTCAAAGGAATTTCTTCTTTAAATCTTGTTCAGAGATATGACCATATGGAAAAACACATATTAGCAAAGATGGCAATGTTACACACCGGCTGTGCCAGTGAATGGTCTCCTTCCCATTCTTAGTATCCTGCTTCGTTGATTCTCCTGCAGAACCACCAGGCGCCTTGCTCCCACCCTCACCTGAATCGCTGCCTACACCTATATGCGAGCAACAGCAATAACAGTAAGAAACCACCATACAACAATGCCCACAAATGGCTCACAGAACCAAATTAAAAAAAAAACAGCAGCAGCAGCAGCCTTTATCTCACCAGGAGACAGCAATGAGCCAGCAGCTTCGGAGTCATGCACAGGGAGCACCCCGATCAGACCCTTCTCCTCCCGTTGCCAGAGTTCCTGCTCCACAAGCTTCACACTGCAGGAGAAACAAGTACATTGATGAAGTCAAAATCCAAACCAAAAGGCAGAATTTTCCCTTCCCACCAAGTCAACACACACTAGCAAAGCCATCGTACGCATACACAGAGGAAAAATCTCAATACTAATCTGAACCACAAGTAAGTACAACACGCCTAGAAGGTTTGAACACCAAACAGATATAATTAGGAGCTGAATTAGTCAACCATAAAGCAACCAAAGCCGCTCTAAACCACTTTGGATTCAGCGAGTTCATCAAACTGCGCTGGAAACTTTTTAACTGTTCACATCACAGACGAGATCATCCCATCGAGAAAACAACAAGTGACGACTACAATACAAAAAAGCAGAAAAAGAAAAAGAAGAAAAAGCAATTTCTACTTGCTCCACACAAATTCACAAAACCACAGACGAAATCGAAGAAAAAGGCCTCACGAATCATGAGCTAAGCTGACTAAGCCAATACAATAGCATCAAACAAAGCTAAGCTACTGCGATTTTACCAACCACACGCTGATTAAACCTAACTTGGACTAATAATCCATCCACCACCCAAACCCCCGCGCGCCCAATCAGCCCATCGGCCACCACCCAAAATTCCACCCTAGAAAACCCACACAACCCGAGACCGTGAAACCCCCCAATCTCGCGGTGCGCGGAATCCGCTCGAGGGGCGCCGACGACGACGCCGCCCCCACTACTTACCTGCTGGGGTTGGTGCAGCGGATCCGCACGATGGCCCCCGGGAGGAGCACCTTGTTGCGGAACGGCAGTATCGCGAGCCGTCCAGGCAGCTCCACCGCCGCGTCCGCCATGGCCACGCACCTCGCCCACCCCACCGCGCTGGAATCGTACGGAAGTGGAGGGGATTACGGCTCCCGCGCTGGAATTGAAATCGGAGGTTGGAGACGATGACGAAGACGACGAAGGGGATATTTATGGGGTGGAGGTGGAGGAGAGCACACACGAGCCGGAGCCAAACTGAACACAGAGAGAGAGAGAGCGGGGGAAGTCAAGGAAGGTTGCTGCAGGTGGGGCCCGCATGTCAGTGAGTGGTGTGTGGGTGGGTGTGGACGTGGCGCTCTGGTGGGATAAGGGAAAGGGGGGGAAAGGTGGGATGGGATCCGGTGCGGGGGCAAGGAGGAAAGCTGATTCTGATTGGCTGCGGGGTTCGGGTTGTTGTGCCACGCTGGCGGTCAGGGGGTGGGCGGGTTTCGGTGTCCGCTGTTTCGGATTTCGGAGCTCAGGCTGCGGGATGGGGGGATGTCGACCGTCCGAGATGGGATGGCGGACGGTGTGGATGGTGATCTTCCGCGAGTCCATGCTGCCATGCCGGCCGTAAGATCGGGATCCAACGGATGGGAGTGGTTTAGCGAGTCATCTAGGCCCTATCTTGGAGAGTTTTTAGTCACTACAGTTTCTTGAAAAATCTTTAGCTTCCCTGCACCTAGGTTTTGATTTTCGTGAAACCGTTAAATGTCGGTTTGTAAAAACCGGTCGTGATTAGCTGGTTTTCGTACAGCGTTAACCAAAAGTCATCGGTTTTGGAAAATGAAAAGGCAAACCCTACCTACATCGTCACATTTTTACTCAGATCCTAATAAATTGTAATATAAAAATCAGAAGTTGAAAAACTTGTTTATTAGATTCTCATCTATTTACAAGTTACTACTACCTCCGTCTCAAAATAAGTGCAGCCATGAGTTTCCACGCCCAACTTTGATCGTCCGTCTTATTTGAAATTTTTTTATAATTAGTATTTTTGTTGTTATAAGATGATAAAACATGAATAATACTTTACTCGCGACTTATGTTTTTAATTTTTTTCAAAAAATTTTCAAATAAGACGAATGATCAAAATTAGACGTGGAAAACTATAGCTGTACTTATTTTGGGACGGAGGGAGTAGTACATATTCCTCGAAATCTTGAGCTCTAATCTTAGCTTCCAAACAAGACATTATCCAATCCCCATAAAATCATGTGAAAGGAAAAACCATTCCTAATCAGATTTGCACATCGGAATTCATAAAATTTTTTATTAGGGTTCCGAAGGAGTTGACCCCATAAACTTGACCTGTGAGGTGGAGAATTCTTGCAATCTCACGCGTATTAAACTAGTGTTAATTTGGATACGAAGTACTCGTACTTAAGTTAGCAGAGACGCTTATTAATCAATTAAGTCCGTGCAGAAGAAGCAATTCTTCTACTACGATTATATTGCAATTTCTGTTGCTACCAACTGCTATGATATGTTCAATAAAAAAAAAGGAATCAGCCTTCCGCCATTACCGGTATAATGGGTGTGTTTAGTTCACGTCAAAATTAAAAGTTTGGTTGAAATTGAAACGATATAATACAAAAGTTGAAAGTCTGTGTGTAGAAAAATTTTGATGTGATGAAAAAATTAAAAGTTTAAAGAAAAAGTATCAAACTAAACTCGGTCTAAATGAAAGCTCGGATTAGTGGAGCCATGTCGGCAGCCGTTTTTATTTATTCGTCTGTTGGCAAACCTAGATTTGATAACCTAAAATTCTTGCTGAGCTTTTCCCAAAAGCTGAGCTAGGCACGTGGAAATATTAGCATGTGAAATCCATGGCTCATTCTACCGTACATGACGAATTTATGAGGCTTCCAGTCAACTTCAGAGCTTACTCCAATAGTACTATATACTACAGTAGGTAGGCTTGTCCAATAGTACTCTCTTCGTCATAATATAAGGTCTCGTTGAGTTGACGAAAAAAAAATTTTGGATATTACATCGGACGTTTGATTAGATATTGGAAGGGTTTTCGGACACGAATGAAAAAACTAATTTCATAAATCATCTGAAAACCACAAGATGATTTATTAAGTCTAATTAATTCATCATTAGCACATATGAGTTACTGTAGCATTTATGGCTAACTCAAAAGATTTGTCTCACTATTTTCATGCAAACTGTGTAATTAGTTTTTCATTTTATCTATATTTAATGCTCCATGTATTTGTCAAAAATTCGATGTGACGTTTTTGGGAAAAAAAATTTGAAACTAATCAAGGCCTAAGTAGTACTCCCTCCGTCCCAAAATATAAAGGATTTTGGAGGGATATGATTTCTAGTACGCAGGTACTTTGTCCAGATTTACAGTACTAGGAAGTGTCACATCCCTCTAAAAATCCTTATATTATGAGAGAGAGGAAGTATAATTTAGGGTAGTTGTCCATATTCGTAATTTTAGGATATATTGCATCTATACTATTTATATTGGGATGGAGAGAGTACTATTGATCAGTCTAGGATTGATTGCTCACGTAACTGTCTAAGAGTTTGAATTGAAATATAAAATTCAAAGTAATGGAATTACATAATGCACAAGATACTATTTAGCAATGCGATTAAACACCGCGTGAAGCAACTTCAGTTATTACATTCAGGATATGATGTAGACAGGGCAACTAGCATTTCTTTATTTCTCTCATTTAGTGATTATGATTTATGTGTGGGATACTGGGATTCGTGGAAGGAAAGCAGCAACCTCCCAAATATATAGTAGAGTTGCCTCGTAACAAAATGATCAGAGTTTGATACTGGCACCAACAATTTATATATATGCTACAGTAACTAAAGTGATAACTGAGTCATACGGACCCTGACGAATTAATTATACTTCATCGGTCCCAAATTATAGGACGTCCTTTTTTAAAAAAAAATATCAAAATCGATAATTTTTTAATTAATAATTATATTAACCATATAGTATATGCTAAGTACTATACACGTTATATCACTATATTTATATTTAAAGTACTTTGATATGATGTTAATTTTATATTTGTTGGAAGCATAACATAAAATAAATTAACAGCAAAAGTATATTATAGAAGATCATATAAAAAATATAGTGCTTATAATTTGAGATAGCACAAAGCAAAGTCGTTAGATCATACTGTGTTCCCACGTGCAAGGCCGGATAACTAGACTTGGTCACGTTCTTTTAAGTTTTTCCCTAGATTTTTACCGTGGATTACTTGCTCCACATTTTCAAAAAAAAAAGAAGATTTGTTAAAAAAAAATCGTCTTCTGCTCTAGAGTTTAAGTCACTTGTTATAAGCTACTTCCTCCATTTTATATTATAAGACTTTTTTAGCATTGTCCACATTCATATATATGTTAATCAATCTAAATATATATGTGTGAATAGATTCATTACCATCTATATGAATGTGAGCAATGCTAGAAAGTTTTATAACCTGAAACTGAAACAGAGGTAGTATTTCAAAGTTTTTTCTTAAAATATTACAATTAATCGTGTTAATCAGGTAAACAATCAGCCACGATAAAAAGAAGCAACTAGCAGGAGACTTGGGAGTCTACGAGATACTCACAGGTCACCGCCGGCATGTGTCAAACAAACAGTGCACCAGATTGCACGCCGAGGTAAGCAAACGGCAAGGAAATTTGGCGACGGTTCAGACCTGGATTGCATTAAGATACTCGATGTTTAGATGGCAACACATGGGTAACTACCTGTACGTCGAAGGCTTTACCTGACAGGCAGCTCTAAAATATACAGCACGAGCTCCATGGCTCCACGGCAGCATCTCCAAGACCTGAGCCCAAGTCCACGGCTGATGGAGATGCATCCCATTGCTTATCCAGAAACCCTGAAAGAATTCACATATAGTTAAAGATCAGAATGCAAACAAATGCAGATCCAAAAATGATAGATAGATGTGAAGTCATCGTTCTGGATGTCGCCGTCGTCATCACGACGACGGTGTGGGAAATTTCACCCAAATTTCAGGAATGGGATTAAAAAAAATAGACAAGTTTGTTTGAAATGCTGAATATGATGCACGCACGCCGTGGCTGTTTATTCACGTTTCTGAAACGCTGGATCCAAATGGGCAAGTGAAGGCGATGGCTGGCTTCAACCACTTGCCAAATCGGAAAGCGAGGTTCATCAACCAGTACAGCGAAGTGACTAGTAGAGCAACAATTATTTTGATAAAGACGCTGAACAAAAAAAAATCATTTTTGGAGGCATGGCACTAGTGTTCATACTATCTTTGTCTCTAATAGGGGTAGGCCCTTTGATGGTTGATTGGCAGCATTGATCATCTCATCATGGTCTCTTGTCCTGATTCCTGATCAGTTTCTTGCCTTCACGGGCTTAGGGTGTGTTTAGTTGACGTCAAAATTGAAAGTTTGGTCAAAATTGAAAAGTTGTAAGTTTATGTGTGTAGGAAAGTTTTGATGTGATGGAAAAGTTGAAAGTTTGAAGAAAAAATTTGGAACTAAACACGACAGGTAGTTTTGAAACTTTTCCTGCAAACAATAGTCCCTTTATGAGAAGAATCGTTATGAGAAGGTGAAAAATACAGAACTGTAACTGATTTTCTGAAGCAAGAAAATACCAAAAGATTTTTACTATGCATCAAAATGAGAAGGAACTTGTATATGAGTATCTGAGATTGTTAGGCTTTCTAATCTACAATTTGTGAATTAAGTCTAGCTAAATGGTCCTTGCATTCATAAATGATAAAGGATGCATTTATATGTTGTAACAGGAATGAGGCCTTTTGAGTACCTTCAGCATCAAGTTGGAGTAAGTTACCAGCCTATGTGCACTAGGCCATAAGGGTAGTGGCCCTAAGCCTAGGCCCAAATTTCCATCGCAGATTTCACATTTGCATCTGCTACTCGAAATAGAATTTTTTTTTCCCTGAAGTTGTGGACTGAAATTTCAAGGGGTGCGAATCACATAGCAAGATCATCAAAGCAAAAAACTACATCGCCCACGAAATTCGAATCAGGTCGTCTTTGCCAAATCGTCAGTGAACCGTAACACTTGGAAGCACGCTAGTAAGATCACCAGTCCATAACGAATTCACCGGAAGAAACATCATCACCTCGGATTAGAGAATTAGAATAGAACGAGGCGACACGATGTATCGGGTATATTGTGAAATGAGGAAGATCATGTAAGGTTAGAGCAAGGCGACGGAGATGGGAGGCCACACCTTACCGCCGGAGAGGACGGAGGCCGGAGATCCCGGCGGCGGCGCCCCAGATGACCGCCGTCGTCGTCGACGACAGCAGCGACCAGCCGCGGTAGATTGGTAGGCCTCATAGTCTTTCGGCCCACTGATCAACCCTATGAGAAGAGACACAAGTTGGCCCTCTGGTGCATGTGGGCCCAAATCACAGCGGTTACGCTCCGTATCGCGTTCCGGCCCAAGTCAGCTCAGCAGGATTCTTCCTCGGTTTAATGTCCTCGATTTGGAATAAGTTCACTTTGACTCTCTTAACTACTGACAGAATCTTATTCGTCGTGCCCTTCAACCGCAATATCGGATATCTCGACCCCTAATTATTAAAACCGGTACAATTTGACTCCCTTGCTGCATGTTTGGTTGGAGGGAGTTTTTAGGAGGGATTGGGAGTTTAGAGGGATGAGGCTATAGACGGCCATATGGCCCGAGGCCCACGGCCCGGCACGAAGCCCGCAATTTTGGCCCGGCCCAACCACAGCCCGGCCCGACTAGGGTCGTGCCCGTGTCGGCCCGGCCCGACAGCCGGGCCGTGCCTGGGCTGCACCCTCGGCACGGTGGGCCGGCCCGGCACGGCCCGATCAAATAAAAAAATACAGGGATGAAAAATAGACTTATATAATCGTATAAGGCATGGCCCAAGACAATAGGTATACAAAATAGACTTATTATCCAGCCATTTAAACACAGCCCACAGAGTTGAGGGACCAAAAATAGACTTATTTCCAGCCATTTAAACACAGCCACAGAGTTGAGGGACCAAATATAGACTTTTTCTGTGAGGCAGCACAATAGCCCATCATACCTTCGGGCCAGCCCGGCACGGCCCGAGTAGTATTGGGCCGTGCCTGGGCCGTGTATGCCGCCCGTGGGCTGGCACGGCACAGCCCGGTGCGTCGGTCGAGCCATGCCGGCCCGACAAGCCTCGGCCCAGGCACGGCCGGGCTTGGGCCGTGCCGTGCCAGGCGGCCCAGATGGCCATCTATAGATGAGGCTATTAAGTGTTTTGTTTGGTTGGGAGACATGGGAATTTTGGTGGGATGGGGATGGGGAATTGAGCAAGGAACTCCCTCCTTTTCAATACCTGGGTAGGGGTAGGTAATTGGGAGGGAATTCCTCCTTTACTTTTTCTAAGCAAATCTCAGCCATCCGTTTTTATTAATGACCTAATCTCCAACTAAACTCCCTGTCAATTTCCATCACCTCTACCAAACAAGATATTGGGATTAAAAATTAAATTCCCATCCTAATCTCATCATCAATTCCCTCGTGTAAACTCCCAATCCCCTTCCCTCGAGTTACCAAACAAGCCGATGATTTTGGTCTTTTCGAGAGCAGTTTCGCTAATGTGACATCTACGTGATAGTGTTGACCTGATCTGTGGCGTTGACGTGGCGCTTAGATAGCATTAGAATTAAAAACATATATGTGGGCGCCATTCGTCATTCACAAAAAAAATTATGGGACCGTTCATGTGTCTCCCCCTCTCTGTCCTTCCTTCTCTCTTTCTCTTCCTCTCTGGTCTCTACTTTGACACGGGATCTGGAGCGGTAGGGCGAGGGCGGAGCGGCGGCGGCGCCGACCACCTTGGTCCCCAATCCCGACTACTACGGCGCGCTACTCTAGCACCGCCTGATGGGCCCTGTGGTCCTCAAGGTGGCGACCACCGCCGGTAGCGGCATCGGCGTCGGCTGCGGAAGCCACCGATTTGATCAAATCATCCTCACCCACCCCACACAAAGAAGTGAGGGGAGATGGCGCTCGCGGTGTTAACCCGCATTGCTGCGTTGTGGAAGCCGTGGTTCTCGCCGGCGGCTCCCGTTCCACGACTCTCACGGCGGATGGTGGTGCCGTCCCCGGCTCCCGCGGCGTGGATGTTGTCGGCTCCGTCCTCTGCTCCTGCAGTTGCGGCACCTTCTCCACGTACGATTTCCTCGCCGCGCGCTGCCGGGTCCAGCTAAGGCCCCCTCGTCGTTGCTGTCTCCCTCGCTACGCTGTCGATTTTGAAATGTGAGGGTGATCATGGAGGATAGCGGTTCGTGATCGATGATAGAAGAGCGATGGGTGAAGGTGATTAGTGATTCGGAGGAGAGTGTTCGTGATCGACGCATAAACTAGAAGAGCGCGCTGCGTGGGATGGGTGAGGGTGATCACGGAGGATAGCAGGGTTCGTGATCAACGCATAGATTAGTGGTGGGTGAAGGTGATTAGCGATTACGGAGGAGAGCTTTCGTGATCGACGCATAGAACATATAACTAGAAGAGCACGCTGTGTGGTGGATGAGGGTTATCACGGAGGAGAGCGGGATGCGAAAAGCGGTGGGTGATCAAGGAGAAGAGCAGCGGTTAGTGCGAGCAGAAGCTAGACGCGGTGAAGGACCATTATCTTCCTTCTGCTCCTCCTCCTCCTCAATAGAAGTAGAATCGGCAGTAGCTGCGGCCGCCATGGATGCTTCGCTGACCTCCGATATTAGTTACTCCATCCATTTCAAATTGATCTACATATTTCATAGGTACACCAAGACCAAAAAAAGCTAATAACTCTCTCATACTATATTTACTCTAGCAACAAACTCGATGCATGCACCATCCCTACTATTTCCTAGCCAATAGCAAATCAATATATTGCATGTGGGTTATAAATACTTGTGTGCATGGATGCATGTATCAATGCTAATTTACTCCAATGCACAAATAACGAATAGACTTAATGAATGAACAGAAATATGTAGATCATTTAGGAATAATCTTAAAAAAACTATATGTAGATCAATTTGGAATGGAGGGAGTAGTTCGTTAGAGAGAGAGGATCGGAGAAAGAAGGTAGTGGGTAGTCATGGACTCGGCCCAATGACAGTACACTTTTGTTTTTGGCCCATTCAGGCCGTAGGTGTTCTGTCTCGTTGATAACAGCTATGTGGCGTGTCTAGAAATTGGATTTGTGTCTCTTTTTTTTCTTTTCTTTTAACTATTTTTTCTTATGTAAAATTTTCTCAAGACGACCCAGTTTTAGAAAAATATACATTAGTCTCTAGATTTATCTTTCTAGACACGAAGTTAATTAACCTTTGCGGCGCCATCATCCCGTGCAACACCATCTCCTTCCTCCACCTCCACTTGTAACGCCATCGCCTCCTCCCCTTCCTCTACCTCCACGTTGATGCGATGAGAGCGTGGCTGGCAAGTAGGGAATTTGCAAGCGTCAATGACTACGTGTGGGCAGGGAAGAGATGGGAAAGAGGATGTGTGCATGGGAGCTTGCCGAGGGTGTGGCGGAAGCAGCAAGACAAACGTCGACGACGCCGTTGTTGTCGGGACGGAGACTACCAGCGGCGTGGTGGGTGAAGTCACAGGGAGTCGAGGCCGACAGGACAGGGAGATCGACGGGCTAAGGGCCAACCTCTAGGTGGCCGTGCAGACAAAGGAGAAGAGCAGGAAGGCGTCGGACGACCTCACCGCCGCACTCTCCGGCTACGATACTTTAGGGGAGAAGGTAATGCTCATGCGCGTCCAGGCAGTCGAGGACGAGGCCCACGCGGCAGGGCAAGAGAAATGTCAAAATAGAGAGAGAAGAAGAAGTTTGTGTCGCTGACACGTGGGGTCCACCAATTTTTAATCTTATTTTAAAGCTGAAATGCCGTGACATGTGGCTCCCACGTTAACTTAGCCGCCACGTCAGCTAAAACCGGGAACAATATTACCTTGCGACCAAATGTGATCCGGTTTTATAAGTTGAGGGTCGGATCATACCTGCTATGCAGGGGCGAATTTTAAACTCGACGACAAATTGACCGAGTCCCATCATTCTAAGCCCACTAACTCTCCTGAATCTCCCTTGCGGACTTGCGGTTCGAACAGACCAAAGCTTGGGCCCTCGACTTCTAGCTTTCGCAGCCTGCAGTATTGGTAAGCCCTATGGGCTTACAGCCCACGTGTCGGCCCAACTCATGGCTGCTGGTGCCCGTGGGCTTCATGCTGCATCGAGTTCAAAAGAAAGGGGGAAAAAAAGGAAAGGAAATCGTAACACTGCCCTAAGCACGCCTACTTTCAATGAAATCTAATCCCTCCGTCCTATAATATAAGGAATTTTGAGTTTTTGTTTGTATCGTTTGATCACTCGTCTTATTTAATTTTTTTATAAATATAAAAAATAAAAAGTTATGCTTAAAGTACTGTATATAATAAAAAATAAATAATAATTTTAAAAAAATTTAAATAAGACGAGTGGTCAAATGTTGCAAGTAAAAACTCAAAATCCCTTATATTATGGGACGGAGGGAGTAGTTATCTACCAATCAAATCAAATGTATTCTCATACTACTATCCTCATCCTAAATAAGCCTAAAAAATAGAAAGGAAAACAAAAAACAAAAACGCCAAGAATCCACCAACTCGTCTCTGTGTCTCTCTTTCTGTACTTTTCTTTCTTCATTCATGCCGTGATCGATGATAGCAGCAGAGTGCAACCTCACCTCCTCCTCGCCGGCTGCGGCGCGACGTCGACCCTCTTCCCCTTGCCGGAGGCGGCGGCGGCGGCGGCGGGGGGAGGAGGAGGGTCGGGCTGCGACTGGACGGCGCGGCGGAGGACGTCGACGACCTCGGACATGGTGGGGCGCTCCTTGGCGTTCTTGAGGAGGCAGGACTCGGCGAGCTTGGCGATGTCGCGGGCGGCCTTGACGGAGTACTCGCCGCGGAGCCTGGGATCCATGATCATGCGGAAGTTGCGGCTGTCGGGGGCGAACTGGGCGACCCACTCCAGCAGCTTCTGCTCCCCCTGCGGCCGGTGGCGGTCCAGCGTCCGCCGCCCCGTCAGGATCTCGTACAGCACCACCCCGAAGCTCCACACGTCGCTCTTCACCGTCAGGTGCCCCGTCTCTATGTAGTCCGGCGCCGCGTACCCGTGCGTCCCAACCACCTGCCACACATCATCATCATCATCATCATACACCATCTTGAGCTCAGCTATGTATGTATCATATAGTAAGAACATGAAAAAGAAAAATTCAAACCTCTGATCGATTGGACTACGACAAGAAAAATAAACGAAGCAACTAAGACCGATTTATGGATAAGACATGTTTTTAGCGAACCGTTCAAAAGCCAAAATGACATCAAATAGGGTACATGAAGGTAAAAACAAAAAAAAAACAATTTAAAACTAAGCAACTACAAATAGTTTATAGATAAAACCTTTATATATGTGTGTGTTATTAGTGGTTTAAAGCTAAGGCTATTAAGGGGGTGTTTGGATACCCTGACTAAACTTTAGTCCCTGGTACATCGGATGTTTGGACACTAATTTAGAGTATTAAATATAAACTAATTATAAAACTAATTACACGGTGGAGGTTAATTTGCGAGACGAATATATTAAGCCTAATTAGTCCATGATTTGATAATATAGTGCTACAGTAAATATGTGCTAATCATGGATTAATTAGGCTTAAATAGATTTGTCTCGCGAATTAGCCTCTATTTGTGTAATTAGTTTTATAAGTAGTCTATGTTTAATACTCCAAATTAGTGTCCAAATATCCGATGTAACAGGGACTAAAGTTTAGTCAGTGTATCCAAACAACCCCTAAATAGACTATGATGAAAAGACCCAAAATCAACTTTAGAATTATGTTTTAGAATTCAAATTTTTTGTTGTGGCTAATAAGCCAATAAGCAGACAATTATAGCATTGATCCATTTCCTAAGGATAATAACATAGCTCAAAGCTCCTTCGCAATGCAGGAATTTCATGGAAATCTTCTAAAATTCCTATGTTCCAAAGGTCTGGTATGGTATGCCATAGAGCAGTTCTGCGTCAATGCTGACACAAGGTGCAAAATTCAGGGGGAGAAGAGTGATGCATGCGTGGCATGTGTGCATATGTAAGGAAGTGGTGGCAACTTGGTCCATGGCATTGACTTGCTGGATTGCGGTCAAGATTGTCAGGTACACATCAAACAGGTGCACTGGACTGCTTGCCTACTTCAGTCAACGATGCTTTAAAGGCTGTAGTATATAAGTTGCTTTCAGTGCCTGATGGATCAGACAATGCAGTTGCGAGAAGGCTATGGTTTTGTTTGTAATTCTAATAGCAGGTTCAGATGGAGACATACCGCTGTTGAGACGTGAGTGTTTGCTCCTGTTGGTCCCTCCCTTGCTAGCCCGAAGTCCGACAGCTTTGCTCTGAAGTCTTTGTCCAACAAAATGTTAGATGCTTTGAAGTCCCGGTAGATTACCTATCAAAATTGAGCAAATCAGATGAGGATCTTCCCTTTTGTACAAAATGGAAATGTCGTAACCAAAGAAGAAGAAAAGCTGAAGTAACTTTGTATACTAAGCAGCAGTACGCAATTAGCACTGTAAATTATGACGATGACCTGAAAAAATGTGATAGGTTTAGCCTTCCCTAACAGCCTGTATATCTTGATGCTCACCAGCTATAGAGCCTTCTTGCCTAAGTCCTTAATTGTTTTCTAGATTGGAATACTTGGTTCTACAGCTAAACTAGAACATAGAGAGGACAAATCGTATACGTTGGTTGCAACTAGGAGTAGTTAGTACTGATTATGCTTTCAGAAAGTGTCAATGAAATTTGGTGCCTGGAATCTTACAGGAAAGTAATGGAGATGGAGATGGAATTGAACAAACCACTTTTGCCTCTTTTTCATCTAGCTCATCAATTCGTGGTCCTTATTTTCTCATTGACTTTACACTGGAATACTGGATTCACTGCACCTCTATTGCACTACCTCTAGTTACTATGGATGCACGGTCAAAAGAACCTATTAAAACGTTGGTGCTGTCTCTCATCATATATTTTTATTGCCAAACTTTCTCCCACAAAAAACGAAATCACCTATTTGATAAAGATATATCTTTTCAGAGAAGTTGAAAGCATGTGGGCAATGTATGTCTGAAGTATACCTGAACTTGCCCTTCATGCAGGTAAGCTAATCCTTCTGCAGCACCCAAGATTATTTGAAGCCTTCTATTCCATGAGAGAGGAGGATAAGCTCGGACGAATAAGTGATCTTCCAGGCTCTTATTAGGCATATACTCATACACCAATAATCTTTGTGGCCCCCTTTCACCATCAACGGCACAATATCCAAGAAGCTTTACAAGGTTTGGGTGCTCAAGAACCCCAAGGAACTGTACTTCCGCCAACCACTGCTTATGTCCCTGGGAGCAAAATTAAAAGAAACTGCAAAATATTAGGAACAGAAGACAGGATTACTCATTAGAGGGATAGCATAGGAGATCAACCGCATTTGTTTTAGTAGCATTATAGCACAAAGCAAATATAGGAAACCAACAGACCTAATGCTGCCTTACAAGTAGTTTATTCATAACATCACTATAATTAGCGTGCATCCTAAATTCCTAATATACATCAACTGGTCAAGAAAAGACATCATAACTGAGTCAGTAAAATATCATCTAATTCGAGTAGAGAAACTTGGAAAAATCCTTATATTTTTAGCAGACACCACTTAGAGAAAATGAAGCTTATGCTTGGGTATTCTATTAAGTTCAGGACTTGAAATTAATTATTTCCTGTACTCCACTAAACGATATATTCACTACCGGTTTGTCAGTCTTTAGACATCACTTGCATAAATTCAGAATGGATATAGAGTCGCAAAGCACATGGAAATTGAAGTTTCTAGCTGACTTTTGTTCTATATGTTCACGCACCAAAATTTTTCCTCCTAGTGAGTGAATAATAGTCAAATAAGACTAGCAACATGGTTGTGCAGGTTGCCCAGAAACGTAATCTATTCTATCCATTAGTCTTCTTTGATTGAGCAAATTAGCTAACGGAATATTGATTTAGAGTGAAAGGTTGGTTCGCATCATTTTCTAGGAGACATATTTCTACTGTAAGCATTCAGAGAAGACATGGTCTACTATTAATATTGATTGCCATTTGTTTTATGATGACCATGAATGAATATTCAACTTCCAAGTTTGAGGAAGTAAGGTTCCTAGATACTTGAAAAGTTCATTGCCGTTCAAATTCTATCCTGTATTTCCCCTCCATTTTGCTTTATTATGAATAAACAGTTGCCACGTGTGCCCATTGGTCCTATATTTAACCACATCTCCACGCCCAGCACCTCAACTAGTAATAGTTTATGCAGACCAGTAACTTCTATAGTCAACTGACAATGGACTGAAGTAATCCAATGCAATAGATTGACCCCATAAAATATACTATCAAAATTGTAAAATAACAGTAACAGGCAATATCTCATCCTTGAAAGTTCTGCATTTTGATCCTGTCTTCCTGTCAAGATTGTCTACACAGAGAGAGATTTTTAACATACTGATAATAGATAACCAAACCAATTTCAACATTTAGCAAGCCAGGAATATTTCCAATATTCCGGCAAACTAGAAAATGACTTGTGTCCATGGACTTCCTATGGATCAGAACAACATACTTGTCAGTTTATCCAGAGACCAATTCAAGATCAGCTAACACCAAGCACAGAATCCATTAACTTTACTCCCCATAATGAATCTTCCCATAACAGTCGTTAATCTAATCTAGTGGTCACTACTGATGATTTTCATCAAATTTGGCAGAACTACACATTAAAAACAAAAACTCGCTAAGTTGCCTGAAAGCATTCTTCTGCATTCTATGCCAGGATCTTGGCGAAGAGAAGTATCAAGAACAACAAAAATGGCATCATTTGGGATCTCCCTTAAAAAAACACTTCCCTTATCTACCAGCACTAATTTCTGACAATACTGAACATAAGAGAGCAAACCTTAAACTAACAAAACTCATTCCCCAATTCTCCTATTCCCAAATTCCTATTCACCCCTAGTTATCAAACCGGAAATCAATCGCGCAGAATCACAAAGGGGGGAATACTACTCCTGGATCGGAATGGAGGATTCGTTCCCGGGTGACAACTGACAAGACATGATTGATGGTGTCCAAGAAAAGTCAAGAGGAGGGGGTGCAGACTGCAAAGAGAGACAGAGACAGGGGAACGAGAAGGAGGAGGAGAGCACGCAAACAAGCGAGTACCTGGAGACCCCGCTGGTTCAGGCACTTGACGGCGACGGCGAGGCGATCGGCGGCCTTGCCGTCGGCGGGGGAGGAGCGGACGAAGCCCTTGTAGACGCTGCCGAAGCCGCCCTCGCCGAGCTTCTGGGCGCGGCTGAAGCCGTTGGTGGCGGCCTGGAGCTCGTCGTAGTCGAAGTCCCGGAGCTGGCCGTGGCCGCGCTCCTCGTACAGCGACGAGATGCTCCGGTGCGACGACGTCGACCCCGTCGACTTGCTCGCCGGCCTCACCGCCCCGGAGTCGTCCGACCTGCTCGTGCTCACCGCCGACACCGTCGTCGTCGTCGAGCCCCGCCTCCCCGACGATTCCTTGCTCTTGGACGACCTCCGCTTCTTGAACCAACCCAAGCAGCTCATTTCTTGCAGCAAGCAAGCACGCACGCACGCACGCGAACCGTGTGCGGTCCAAAATCCTTTTGTAGGCGAAGAAGAGGAGGCAGAGGCAGTGTGAACTGTGAACCGCGGAAGGTAGCAATAGCAAAGGGAGAATCAGAAAGCTCGCCAAGATTTATTTCGGCAGGCGAGAGAGAGGAGAGGGGAAGAGGGCGCGTACGTGCGGGGGTAGTACTACGTTTGATGAAGCGGCCGCGTCGGCCCGGTTGGCTCTGCCAACTCACCCCTCTCGTTTCTAAAAAAGTTTTATATAAAAATTGTTTTAAAAGATTATATTAATTTATAAATAAATAACAAATATATATTTTTTTAGAATTACACAATACAACGCAGACATTCACAACGCACGCGCACTCACCCCTATGAACACACGCACGCAAACCCTACCCCTATGAGCATCTTCGAAGACTGTGCCGGCAAATTCTGGAAGAGACTGATGAAGTCACCACAGGCGCCTCGCTGTCGACGGGTACGTCACTTACCACTGAATACATAATTAACTATATGTTAATAAATCACTACGGTTTATATAAGGCCAGACCCAGCCCAATACATTAAATATAGTTTCCATAAACTCCACGTTATCAAGAAAGTAAGTATTAGACACTACTTTTTCATACTTCAATTTAATGAAGTACTACTTATTTCATATGATGTCTTGGATATTGTGAAAAAACTATGTCTTGGATATTTCTTTTTTCCTCTCTATTTCCTTGTCATATTATTTTTTTTATTTTAGATGATAGTTTATTTAATGCTTCGTAGGAGTACATTATTCTGGTTATTGCATTGAGGCTGGCCTAAGTGCTGCCGGTGGTGGCCGTTGCACGCGCGGTGCGTGGTAGACTGGTAGTTGATTGATCAGCTGATCGGTTGCTGCTGCTGGGGCGCACCGGGCGCACGCGGACGCGGTGTGGTGTGAGCTCGGCGGGCGGGATGGGGACGGCTCTGTTTGGTGTTGGGTTTTTGTTGTGTGGATTGCCCGCGTCGTCGTACGGGTCTCAACTACGAATCTGAACGCCTCGTCGGCTTCGCCAAATTCGCATGCCTGCGCGTCTCTCTCTGGCTCTGCAGGTGGCCGTGTTCGGTTGCATCACTGTATAGCAGTCGCAGCCCCCTTTTCTAATCATGGAATTTAAATTTACTTTGCATGAGTTGCGTGCGTGATGAAAACAACAGCTGTGGGATGGTGATGCGAGTGTGTAATCGAGAATATTTTTTAGGGAAACGAATATGTTGTTCTAGCCTGTGTTTAGTTCCACGTTAAAATTAAAAGTTTAAAGAAATTGGAACGATGTAACGAAAAAATTAGAAGTTCGTGAGTATAAAAAAGTTTAATGTGACGAAAAGTTTGAAGTTTGAAGAAAAAAGTTAGAATCTAAACATGGCCCTACTTTTTTATGAAAAAACATAGGATAAACGTAGATGTTTATAACATGCACACGTAAAATCTATTTGTATGAATACCTTCAGAAGACTAGGATCAACATATTTTAAAATTCAAGAAGTCACCACATACATCTCACTAGATAAGTACGTCAACTACCACTGAAAGACTAATTAGCCGTAAAGGCGTCGTGTTACGTTTAAGATTTGAACTTGAGTGAGTTGACTTCACCAATTCAATCAGTTGAGCTACGTTTATTTTGCATGTGTTTATAGTATTTGGGTGTACACTTTTTCTCTCTAATATCTTCACCCGCGTGGATTGAATCTTCTCGTCAGATATATACTGATATGGACCACAACAAACTTTATTATCACTATGTTTTACAGAGTTTCATAATCTATTTAGCTCCATCCTTGTATACATCGAAGTTGTCGGCCAGCCCAAATAATTTTGATGATCAATAGCCACAAGCGCGAGAATAATTGTGACGAAAGTCAAGAGGGAACATAGATTATAGTGATATATATTATTCATAGGCTCGTAGCTTAATTCATGTTTTGTTCGACGATTTTTGATATTGTTTACTTGCATATATGCCATGTGTTTGTTACGTTGGGCCCAAACAATACGACACATATATAGACCTAGTCGCGACAGTGTACATGATTCTTCAATTGTTTCTTGGGTAATGGGTTCCATGCATGTTCCAATAGTCCAAGTTGGGTGTTTAAAACTTGGAAGAAAATGTGAAAGAGGTGTTAGGTGAATTCACACTTCAGTGCCCAAGACACCTTCAATGTCAAATACTCTAATCAATGCTGGTCAAGTGACTCATAAAAAAAATTGTTGGTCAAGTGAAAATAATAAAATACAGACAGTCTTAGAATAGTGTGTTTGAGAGGAAGAAAACATATAATATCCCACTATATACATAGGATTTCAATAAAATATCACTCAATGGAATGCATCGTATAAAATACCACTCAATACGTTGCCTACCAGATGAAATATTACTTTGAGGAGTTTTAACCATTTTTATACTCGAAATGCCCTTGGCTGTGGCTATGAAGAGAGAGAGAGAGGGAGAGGGTGAGTCAGGGGAGGACCGGGTGCATGGCGCCGGAGACCTCGCTGAGAGGCGGTGGCAGCGGAAGGAGGACAAGACGGCGGTGGGGATAAGGAGGCGACAACAAGGATGAGACACCACTATGGAGGTGGAGATAGACCCGTCGTCCCGGTCACTTCTACTCGCTGCCCCCCTCCCAAAAAAAAAAGCAAAAATGCAAATGGTGTGTTTTTCATAAAAAAAAATACATATGATTTTTTAAAAAAAGAATTTAAATATTGATCACAAAATCATTCACCTAGGCCGAGTTTAGTTCCAAAATTTTTCTTTAAACTTCTAACTTTTCCATCACATCAAAACTTTCCTACACGGCTACACACATAAACTTCCAACTCTTCCGTCACATCGTTCCAATTTCAACCAAACTTTCAATTTTTACGTGAACTAAACACACCCCTATTCAGCTATAAAAACAAATAGAACAATCCATTTGTGTACTATAATAGTACACCACTGGAACAAGAAAGAGGGCTATTATTGACCCAGTTGTAGAGGGATCACATTGCTCAGCTCTAAACCATACTATTCCAAAGAACTTCTGCAAGACACCCACTTTGAAAAAAAAAAACACCTAAACAAACAAATTGCCCCTTGGAAGGACAGGACTAGTTAGTGCTGTGTGTTGACCTGTGTAAACAAAATCAGATTTTGTGTACCGGCTTTCTAGTGAACTGCGTACAAACGGTGCAGATGAGAGGAGACAACAGCAGCATCATGAAGAGCACTGGAGGAGAAGAGGACGGCGACGCCTCTGATGAAGAGAACCCGTCGTCGTTTCTCCTCCCCGGTCAAACACACGGGCTGCAAGTCTGGAATGATGGAGAACCAAACAACCCGCTCAATCCAACGCTCACGTGTGCGTCTGTTAGGCTGTGGGCCCCGGCTGTCAGGCTGTGGGGCCCCGGTCAACGTCTTGACCGGGACGCGACTGTCGCGCAGTGACGTGCTGCTTGATGAACAACAACACCTGGTCTCTTCACGGTTAGCCCAAGTGTGAACTTAAAAGTACAGCCAATCAGCCATGGTTAGACTTTGGAACACGCAAAATTAACTTGGTTTCTGCGAAAATTGAATTGTCATATGGTCTCTCCGTAATTTTTTTATATATAGATCTTTTTAGATGGAGGAAATACTCACATGGTTTATTCCCTCCGTATTAGAAAGTTGTTTTTTTCTCTAGAACGGAACGAAATGAGTATTCGGGAATCATGTAAAATTTTGTGTTCTGAATAATGGATTAGGTCGTGTTTAGTTCCAAAGTTTTTTTTTCAAACTTCCAACTTTTTCATTACATCAAAATTTTTCTACACACACAAACTTTCAACTTTTCCGTCACATCGTTCTAATTTTAACCAAACTTCTAATTTTGGTGTAAACTAAACACAGCCTTAACCTCGCTGTTCAGAGTTGGGACATTTGAAAGACAATACTGTATAATTCATATGTCAGGGAGCTAACTAAAAGTTCAGAAGAAAGAGCGAGTCTCAAACATTCCTCTACCAGTGTCAAAGCGTACGGAGCTATGCCAGCTTGTCAGCTGCGAGCTCACCATCTCGCCATAGTCGCGTGCCAAAAAAAAAAAAAACAAAAGTGATTGATCACAAGAATCGCATTGCTGCCGGGTACACCACGCTGAGATCATAAATTTACAATCTAATTAAGAATAATTAATGGTATACTACACATTGTCAGGTCAGCCCGGTGAGCTTCAGAATTCGACGATCCATCATTCATCGCATCGTCATCAGGGCTTAGGTTGACGACGCCCCGGTCAATTCATCCACTCCAGCCGTTGTCATCATCATCATCATCTCCTCGTCTTGCTAACCGTCGCGTCCTCATCTTCTTCTTCCTCCTCCGGATTAATCTTCTGTCGCTTCTGCAATTGGTCAGCCTGTCAGCAATGCAGATCAAGAAGTTAATTAGCGAATGTAACTATTACTAAGCAGTGAACTGTGAAGCAATTCAATCCATGAGATGCAAGTCGTATGAACACATCTGAATGCATAGAATGTGTCCGGACAGCCGTGTCAATCGATTGATCTAGACGAACTTGGCTGGAAACAGTTTTGCTGTTGCAGCTGACGCGAAGGACGTTGACTCCCCTTACTGGAATCGCATGCTCATCTGTGTACTACTAGTACTGAGGAGGATTCAGGAAAAGGTAGTAGAAAGAAAGAAAAAAGAGTCAGGACTCGAGACTAGTTCAGTTCAATTTTTCCGTACCCTTTTTCTGAAACAAATCTGCCTTTTGATTTTGAATGACTAATAACATGTAGGTACGTACTTCATATCTAACGGATTTAATATATAACAGTGATCCAGGTTAGAAAACAGTACTGCAGAGAGAACTCATCACCTAAAACACTGCACGGCTGCACCTACCTTCGGTCTTTTCTTGTACCAATGGTTTTGAATATTTTGATCTTTTCAACCACTCAATGTCATGCAGGTTAATTGGCGATTTAATCGCCTTTTCTGCAATTCTTAAATGCGACAAAAGAAACCATCGTCTTGGCCAGAGAATTCAGAGTTTACTAGTTCAAACATGGTATTTCTCTTTCACTGTCTAGTGCATAGTAGTATTTACAAGTAGTATCCAGCTAGCTTTTTACTTTCTTCATTTCTTTACGTGATCGGTTAACTGTCAGCTAGAGAATTTTGGATGGTCCGAAGATTTCTACCGGTATCTGTCAGTGTCCATTTTTGCAGAGCTGTACTACTGAGCCTTCATTCAGGTATTGATCGTTTTCGTTGACGGATCGGATCAACTTCCAGGACAAGCACGGCCATTGCCATTGCATCGATCACTATCGAACAAGGACCATCTATCAAATCCGGTTTCCGCGTTGCACAGATCCAGAGCTGTTCCTCTCGTCGGTTTAAGAATCAACTCCGACGCGCATTTACTATTCCTATACTTAATTAAGGTTGTTGCAGTCATGTCTCAGCTACGTGAAGACCGGGCGTGTCGATCATGGCGTCAATGGTGACCAACTGATGATCAACAGTGACAGAAAATGCAAATCTATTTTCTCCATTTTGAAATATAAGTATTTTTATATTATTCAAAATTTATACTACAATATAAGTGTTTCTGGAATACTGGTTCTAAGGCACTGAATACATATTATGATAGGGAATATAAACAATTTAAAATTTAACCACCATAGTGAGTTTTTTTTTACAAAAAAAGCCTACTGTGGTGACTAAAAAAATCTTTTTACTCTAACCTTTAGTATTTACTTAAATAACTTTAAAATACTTATGTTTTGAATTAACCAATGTCATATACTAATCTAACTATAATATTTATTAAAGTAAAATTTACTCTATTTTAAACTAACCAATGTCATATATCACAGATGGTAAGCATATATGGTGTGAAGTGAAAATATATGCTTATTTCTAGTCTATTATAAAACTTTGGCTAATAAAGATGATCAAAGTAAAATTTACCCTATTTTAAACTAACCAACGTCATATATCAAAGGCGGAGGTAGTACTATTGTACTACTGCAAGGTGTTCTTTTCTTCTGAAGATGAAGATGAAGATTAAGTTTTTTACGCAAAACGAGGTAGTATTAACGTATGATTGATTGAGTTTTAATTATTATAAACTTGAAAAATATATTAATATGGTATTTTAGAGCAACTTTCATATAGAAAATTTTCGCACGAAACGCACCATTTAGCAGTTTGAAACGCATCATATTGTTGTTGGAGAAAAGAACGGGACCAAGTCAAGTTCAGCTAGCGAGCGATGTGGAAATCGGTAGCTGCAAGCGAACGCGAAAGTTCAGAGAATGTGTCGCGCGCGGCGTCAGTGTCACTGTACCTGGCCGGCGCGGCCGCCGCCGCCGCTGCTTCTCGCCGCCTGCAGCTGCGACGAGACGCGGCCGGCGACTTCGGCGAAGCAGGCCCGCCCCAAGGACACGGCGGCCTGGAGGTGCGACGCCGTCGCGTCCTTGGCGCTGGCGCGTAGCTGCAGCAGGCCGCGGTCGATGTCGGCCTCGTGCCTCGCCAGCACCGGCTGCAGGTAGCTCTCGTAGACGTGCTTCGCGCCCTGAAAACGAACAGACATGGAATGGGTCTCTGAATGTTGAGAACGATGTCTCCTTGAGCGTTTCTGAATGTTCGGACTTCAGCTTCAGTTTGAATTCAGATTTAATTTTCTTTTTGCAGTACTTTTATGGTAGGTCTCTACTGTTAGTATTCGATCTTGGGGTGTGTTTAGTTCACGCCAAAATTAGAAGTTTGGTTAAAATTGAAACGATGTGACGGAAAAGTTGGAAGTTTATATGTGTAGGAAAGTTTTAATGTGATAGATCGAAAAGTTGGAAGTTTGAAGAAAAATTTTGGAACTAAACTCGGCCCTACTGTGAAAATAATCTCAACCATTAATTCCTGGGTTCTACTATTAGTAGAAAAAAGAGCACTGCTACAGTGTACTGAAAAAAAACCATACAAACATAATTCTCAACCGTTTGAATTTTTTTACTAGATGAGCACACGTTAATTCTAGAGTTCTATATGATCAGATTTGTAAAACTGTGAGTGTTTATAAGAAAAAAAAGTGATTGTATAGCCTTTTTCCCAGAAAAAATTATGCAACTACAAGTAGTTGAAGTGCTAGTGAAATACCTTAATTTTTGCGGTTGTCGAGTGAGTGTACTACAAGAAACTAAATCTGATAATTGATTATCGGAGCAGACAATTATTCACGAATGGATTAGTAACATTACAAAACCTAGACCATTGCATCAAAGCAAATATAGCACATTTGAGTTAATCAGGTGAGTGCTTACTCGTGTCTTTGGGTACCAGAGGTAGAGCACGAGCGCAAGCTTTGCCTCGCCGTACATGGGCAGCCATGAGACCGTGAAATAGGTGATCGTCTCCAACGTCGTCAGAAACGCGAGGAGAATCCTGAACAGCACAAGCAATTGTTCAGATTCTTCAGAATTCAGGCAGGATGCAGCATGATTTTGCAGGTTTGTTTGTGTAGGGTAATGCTTCATCACCAGTACTGACACCAGAAACGCAACTGATCGATCTGCGGTTTGTTCAGTTCCAGCGTCTTGTAGCAGTCATACGCCGGGTAGGCGTATCCTAAAACCAGCCTGCGTTGCAGAAAGATGCAAAGAGGACATGAATTGGGCTTTTCTGATCTCTTCCACGAACTGTTCAAACGGACTGAATATTTTTTCGAGATTACTCACGTCAGAAGTCTAGTGATAAGTAACACCGCCATCTTCAGTCGTCAGAACAAAAGAAGAACACAACAATCTGCAAAGGGACTTTTCAGAGATTTATCAAGCCCGTGATTAAAGAAGCAAAATTAAACAATGCAATGCAGGATTCAGATTTGCAATTGCAAAAACAAACGAACTTCTGAAGATACTGGGAACGTCGTCAGAATTTAATAGGGCCAAACAATCATAAAGATCGACGAGAAGGAAACCAACCAACAATGAAGTTAATACGGATCGCATTGCGCAATGGAAAATTACCTCCGAGAATTTTTCACCCTGCAATCAAATGGCTTGGATAGATTTGTTGCGAGGGATGAACTGAAACCGAGAAGAGCGCGCGGTTAAAATATGCAGGGATGCGGTTAACATTGGATGGGATACGGAAGATAGCCCAACCGACGCCTCTTTTCGCGCCAGAAAAACGGTTAGAGGAAGCGGCAAAATAGATGGGCCAACAATTCATGGCTGAAGCCACGTTTACTGAAGATTGTTAACTGACCATGGTTAGTGGTGATGCCCTGCCATTTCACTTCTGGACTCCTACCCAAAATAAGCTGCAAATTGTTTGTCAGATCCCAAAATAAGCTGTATATTGTTTTTTTAACTACTCCCAAAAATATAAGACTTACTTTGACGGTCCAAAAATGAGCTTTGACTGTAAATTTCTGTAACACTACTTTTACTTGCAGTAACAAAATCATAGCCATAAGAAAGTAGTCTCGGTCTCTCGGACATGAATCCAATATTACCATTTTGTATGCCAAAATAAATATCTTTGGATTATTCGCTTGTCAAAGCTTAAAATTGGACAGTCAAAATATATCTTATATTTCTGAATAGAGGAGTAGCATTTTTAGTTTCCAGCAAAAACAATTTCCAGGTAGTACAGAGGGAAAGGCAGAGTAGGGCATAGTTTCTGGGGATCCAAGAATGTAAATTTCCAAGAGGTCCTAGGGTCCCAAATGCCAATTAGTTATGACATTTCGACCAACCATGTGGTCACTAACGATGGCCATTATTATACCAGCCTCCCTGATCCAGTGTGTATAATTGTTTTGACTTTATTATTTTCTTTAAAATTTCTTGGTTCTTTGGGACACATTCACAGAAGCCAAAGGCAAAGCATGTCTTCTCGTTACGCTTCGTTGTGGGCCATGTTGCTTTATCACCTGTAACCCTATAAAACCACACGCCAACAATCATGGATTAATAGGCCATGATGAACCATACTGAAAAGATGTCCAATTTATGTATGAACATACTGAACAAACTGGATTAATACTTCCCTCTCCCCATGTGATCTCACATGTTCAGTGCAATGTTCATCTTGGGAGGGATTTTACAGATCATCAATACAAGCTACCAGAGATCATTTTAGAATCAACAAATGGAATCCGTCCTACAAATACAACACTCGTAGTATCAGATAGTACACCAGCAAACCGGATGCAACTACGCAGCAGTATTTGTATAAACAATAGCACTATGGCACAAGAACTACTACTGCTAACCACCCATCACCCAAAAGATGAACAACGAAGAACACCGTGAAGGCGTTTCGCTGATGGCACATTGCCTTTGGTCACGCCAAAAATCTCTCATTGTACATGGCTACATGTATATCCTCCCGGTTGGTCAAAGCCATTGCCCAAACTCTGAGAGAGCTCTAGGTGAACGACTGCGCCACAGAGGAAGTTGTGACCAGACCAGAAAGAAGACCAACGAGGGTGCCGCTGTTGTAAGTGCTTGACTCTGTCTGAACAGCATTGTCCCGAGAGTCGACGAAAGTGTCATTCTGGAACGGCCCGCCCACGAGGGCTCCCATGGCGACGTTTGGGTTTGGGCTCGTAGAATGAAGATACTGGAATCCTTTGCAGCCTGTCTTTGCATCAGCGGGGATCGACGCCCCTCTGTGGTGTACCTGCTGTGGGTAGCTGCTCCCATATCCAACCAGGTAGCTAAGCTTCATTGGGTTGTCTCCCAAGATGTAATTAGCCTGACATGCAACAGAATATATGTTAGAAACTTACTGCACAACACCTTCCTGGTCAGATGCTACCAACACAGCAGAGCAGAAATAGTGTGTAGGTCATGAGTCATGACAACCAAAGTTATCATAGAATGTAGTTAAGCCACAAAGGCAAGCAGTGTGTCACAATGTGCCGATGGCTCGTGACAAAAAAAGGTAGGCATGTAAATACAAGGAATGTTTTATGGTGTTTCTTGTTGAACTTCAACATGGCAAACTGGAATTTCAGTATCTTGCAAGGTTTTCTGTAGTTCACCTGTGATATAGCAAAATTGCGTATATCTGTAGGACTGTAGTACTTTCCACTGCATTGCACTGCTGCTGTTTGCGATGTGAGCATGTAGTCACTGTAAACAACAGCAAGGAATGCTGCATTTGTGGCATGCTGGAGAGAATTCCATCCACTTATCCACACCAATCCCCCTGCACAAAAATCACCATCATATAATTAAATCACAGGCAAACAAAATACAGTTTGCACATATTCTGTCTAACCCCAGAAAATACTATTTAATGTAAAAAAAAAGTGAACAACAAAAGCCTATGCATAAATTCTCCATGTATTGACCCATAATATAAGATCAAACAGTGGAAGAATTTCAACATACCACCAGTCCTACTGGCAGTAGCTGATGGAGAATCTGGTAGGAGCCCACAAATGACGGCTTCAGCAGTGTCTCTGTACATTTTGAGTCCCATGTTTTCAGCATTAGATGTCTGTTTGGATCCAAAGAAATTTAATCTTGACAAGAGCACCTGCACATAATAGACAAAATGCATTGAAAGTTATATTCTTTGGCTGAAGAGTGAACTAACGTTATTAAAGGAAGATAAAAGGCGTAGCTTCATTCCTAGTTCCCGAATAACAAAGTTGCTTCTTAAATGTTCATGCAAAATTGCAAACCTGTGTCCCTGCAAGTTTGTCATCCCAACTGAACCATGTTGGCCTTCCCCAATCAGCAAAAGCTTTTCCATTCTCTACAGTCACATAACTGAGGTATGTTTGGTCTCCTGTAGCATGATAGAGCCAACTCGCTGCCCACAGGAGTTCGTCTTGATAACCAGTAGAATTATAGTAGTTTTGGAGCTTTGGATAGGTGTCACTGGCGAGGCCTTTATAAGTATCAGCAAAAGTAAACAACTTCTGAGCATGTTGAAGAAGTGAATCAGAATATGTAGTGTCTCTGGATTTGAAAACAATTGATGCTGATGCCATAGCTGCTGCTGCCTCAGCAGCAACATCTGATCCAGGAGACTTTGTGTTAATCTGTGTGAGTGGTCTTTTCTCAGACATAGTCTCCGGCCTTTCCCAGCAGTTGTGATCTAGATCAGGATCACCAACCTACAAGGTAACAGTTATACACGTTAGTTGATTAATATCAAGACGTTCAACAAGGTGAGGTTGCTGCATCTATTGTACTGATCTGTTCAAAGAAATATATAATGTGTTCTTTGTTAGATGGACTTAAGGCAATTAACATGAACAATAAACTAGCTTATAAGTTATATCTGATTTCATCATCTTATGTACATTGTATTCTATTCATCAGGTATTGAATGTGCTGTACAACCTACCCAAGTAAGCATGACTAAACATGTCAACGCAAGCATTGAGTGATAAAACTTCCACACATACAGAAATTCAACTCATAAAAACATCTGGCATCCCCTAATCTTCAACTTTCAAAAACACCCATCCCCCTACCATCAAGGGCTAACTCTACATATTAAGAGATGTGTTGAACTTTACTCAATTAAGTATGGGACTACCATCCAAATTTCAAAGGGAAAAAAAAGGACTACCTTGGAACATTGTGGGTATATCATACGGAGAAGTCTATACTGATAGTGTGAAAAGAATGCAACTATAAAGACAAACTGGAAAGGGCATGGACATTGAACTTGCAACAAATGTGTTGATTTAAACCGATTTAAACGTATCAAGCCGAAAACGAAGTACCTCCTAACTATTAGGTGTCCAGATCACGACATCTGACCTGGCTTGCTTCTTACCAACCAAACTTTCCCTCTACTGAAAGTCTGAAATGCCGCCAGGCCGCAATAAACCACAACTAAAGCAAGCATAGATCACTCAAAATTTTTACATAGTATAAAGAATTATGCTACAGCTCTAACCTGAATGTAGAACACATTGTCAGATGGATGCGCATTGACGAGGAAATCAGTGATCCATCGGAGAGCATCAAGCGCAGGGTCCAGCTGCTTCGTGGCGCTCATCTGATCTCCATACTCAAGTATGGACCACGAGAGCACCGTTGCCGTGAAGGCCATCGGGAAACTAAACTTGATATGATCACCAGCATCATACATTCCCTTGGAAAGATCCAGCCCCGCTGGTTTCCCATCATCCAGCGCCGAGTCCCCCCTCCACGGGATCTGGTTGTTCTCCAGCTTCCCCGCTGCACAATACCAACAGAAATTACCAACAATTTAGCAAATAAGTACTTCTTTAGAGCTACTGAAGCTGAAAAGGGTTAGAGATTGTGCTCATTCAGCCTCCAAAACACTGCATCGGTGGCTGGAACAACCAAAACTCCAATATCCATAGCTAAATAAGCTAAATTCACAGTTTGGTTAACAGATTTAAGTGAAATCTGCGAGCACACATTTGCCAACGACATAGTAATCACCACAGAAAGGAACTGCTCTTGCAGAAGAGCGTAAAATTCACACTAAAAAAAAGTCAAAACTATAAGGTCACGGCCACTGAAATCGGTGAGAAATCTACCGACTCGTCAACTTTCCTACTGAGTAACGATTGGTGAAATTCTTCACCACCCAGAAGCAGAAACCATCAGATCACCCGAAACAACCGTATCAACCTCTCCAACTACCACCCCAAATGCGGAGATACTAAACGAACACACACACACACACACACAAGAGCTTCCAAGCTGGGCGCCAAGAAAGAAAAGGGCATTCGCCGCGAAATCCGCCGAATTGCGGAAGAAGCATTGCGGTGGCGAGGTGGTGAGCAGCAGCGAACCAGTGCGTGCGGCGGGGGCAAGAAGAAGAAGTGGAGCGAGTGGTGGTGGTGGTGGCGGTGGCAACTCACCCTTCTGGACCTGGAAGAACTGGAGCGCCACCCCGAGCGCGTCGCCGTACTTGGAGTCGATGGCCCCGGGCGGGCCGGGCACCGGCAGCGGCTTGAGCTTGCGCCCGCTCCCCCCGCCGACCTTCTTCTTCATGATGGCCACCACCGCCGCCGTCGCCACCAGCGACGCCACCAGCGCCACGATCAGCCACCCGCAGCACCCCTTCGTCTTGGACCCCATCGCATTCGCCTCCTGCAACCCACCGGAGACGACGACGCCTCCGCGGCGCTGCTCGGCTCGGCGTCTCGCTCGCTCGCCGCCTCCTCTTCTACTGCAGGGGATGGGCTCGCGTGGGCTTTCGGCTGGGTTGGTGGTGGTGGCGCTCGTCGCGTACTCGCGTGTGGTGCGGCCGCGGGGGGGTTGGTGCACGGTCGGGGTAGGGGTGAGGTGGAAGTCTGGGAGTCGCTGTCGGGTGGGGCCGAGGCGTGGTGGGCCACGGATGGCAGTGAGAGGGGAGGACTCAGCGCGTGGGGGTGTGTGGGTGAGGTGAGGAGTCGAGAGCACCGACAGGACAGGAGATGGACGGGCCGACGCGCGCTGGATGGATGGACGGATCGTTTGTGAGGGTGTGTGTCCGACCTGTATTTAGGTGTGCTGCACCTTAACGTACGTACACGAGTGGTTGTGCACCTTACTGGGATAGGGTATATTTCCGTATATTTTGTTTTGCTAGTGTCTACTGGCAAGAGATCATCTAAACATTTCACGTCAAATTGGCAATTCTGTGGAAGGTGAGATTATATTTTTCGGTACGACAACTAGCTGGCATTTCATGACAGAATGTTCGTGCAATTCTATGGTTGTGTTTAGTTCAGCGCAAAGTTTAGATTTTGATTGAAATTAGAGATGATGTGACTGAAAAGTTTTGTGTGTATGACAGGTTAATGTGATGGAAAAGAACTGAGGTTTGAATTCAAACTTTTGATCTAAACACAGCCTATGTTCATTTTGTGGCAATGGATTGGCAATGAATTATGGGCATGATCCCGATCCCTAAACTCTTAAACGGTACAATATTATAATAAAAGCTTCTATATGTGAATTTCTTATATAAGTATTTTATTTTTTTCCTATTTTACAAATACTTAATTCGTCATTTGTATACTCGTATAATTATCATTTCATGCCCTAGTCGCCAAGAGTATGAGGAGTCGAAGAATTTAACTCTTTATTTGACAAATTTTGTTTAATGTAATATCTAGAGTACACACGTCTGATAGTTGTGACGACGTTGCTTAATGGCGTGACCACTGAGTACGATAAATTGGTACACCTGGTGGTGTAATCATACACGCATGGGCCGTCCAACCCAAATATTGCATGCTAAGCAATGAACTGGCGATAATGATTGATTAAAACGCAGCTGGTGACTACCCAAAGGAATTTCTGGAGTTAGAATTATTTGCGCAATTGGTGTGGATAACGATGTGCATGCGATTTTTGGGTAAGACCAGAGACGATCCCAAAGAATTTGGGGATCTCCAGGTGTCCCGCAGTCGGAATCTTTTGATGACGGAGAGCTCGGCCCCTTTTTAAAGCGTTGATATAAAGCATCATATAACGTTTTACTCAAGCGGATGCCAAAGATAATACTACTAATATTAAGCAAAGGCTAGTGGTAACTAAAGTATTAACAATGTCATAAGCACTGGAGAAAGCATTATTCACCATTTGGCGTTCATGCTGCATAGAGAAGAAAAACAAATTGCTAAAAAACACCAAGGCAAGAAGGGCAGGAATCTCAATCCAAGCACACCTTAGCGTAAGCATCATATTGACGGTCATCTCGACCAGAATACTGGTGATGAGTTAGTTAGTGAGTAGTGACAGCAGTTGAGCACAGCTCACACCAGGAGCTTTGCAAACCATGATTAGTCCATGGCCCATTTGCCTTTGTAACAAATCTGGGGACTTTGCTCATTATCTTGGCACGGTTCTGAAACTGATAATAGATAATCTGGATCCATACACAATTATAGTACATGCAACCACCGTATCTGCTTCTTGTTGGCACTGACGCTGGCGACAAGACCATGAGCACCGTCTTATGATGCAATATTGCCGTGCCCATTTCCCCTGCACAGTGCAAAACAATCATTGCAATAGCAATACAACTTGAACAGAAACAGACTGGGATGTAGTATTCGTTGTTCTTGATGACGCAGATAAAAGGGATCAATAGGACAGTGATAACTGACCTTGTGGCTGTTGCACGCAGAGTGATGCTAGATAAAGAAGACCAAACCAACAATGTTGATAAATGCATTCCGTATTAACAAGAAGGATAGCATGTCAAGCTTGGATCCAGGGCATTATGATTAATCCGTACACATTTATGCATCAGTTGCTCAAATGCTCAGCCACAATCTGCAACCAGAAAACCATAACCCAGCTAAGAACTACTAGTACATGAATAACAATGTGAGAAAATAATCCAAATATTAACAGTCGGCATTCAATTGAGAAGTAGGAAAATAGGAATATTAGCATGTGACATCGTATGGTTGATCTGTAGTAAAACAGTTCATCCGATGGTCAGGTCGAAAGGAAGGGTGTTTTAGCATATTACTATACAAAGTGTAATTAAACTAAAATGCATGATGTAAAATAGAAGCTGAAAGGGTCAGAACTGCATAAGCACCCCCGATAAAAGCATCACCTAGAAATGATATCCTATTACTGGACCAATTGATCTGCAAAAAAATAACTTTTACATATCCACAGTTGTTTGATCTCCAAAATCCTGCAATAAAAAACATTTCAGTTTAGATACAGTACAACAGAGAGATAGATGAGCACAAATATAGGGATATCCAATCGAATGGCTTATTTTCATTGAGTGTGTATATTATAACCTTCTGGAGTCATCAACATCAGAGTAATAGTGTGCAATGCAGTAAAATAACAGCTGCAATGTAAATAAAAGAAAATGTTGCGCCAACACATTTTTTAGGGCTCTGCACAATGCGTTAAAATGTCTGTAAGGTAAACAAAAAACAATGCTGCATTGGTGCCACAGAAATTTATTAACGGATGCAATGGGATCCACCCCCTTCTTTTTCTCCCATCCTAGAGTCAGGATATCACAACAACCAGGATGTGCAGAAGTACATCTTATCTCCCTCGATACACGGATATTAAGAAAGTAGGTCTTTATGTACTCTTCGTTTTCAACAGAAAGAAACATATAAGGTCTTGTGTGAAAATTTAGTCTAACCATACAATGATCTCAGCATGAATGAATGGACACATTTGATTAGTTAACAGCGTACCTGATAATAAGTGTGGAGTAAAGCGTTAGTCATCAAGCCTAACATGCACCTTTTGTTATGCAACCACCAGATGTCAAAATCAAATAAAGAAGCATCACTGCGATAGCTGTATACCGTGCAACATTAACATCCCTTTTGCATTTATTTTGAAGTGTACATTACATGAGCTAGCCTAAGGAGTTGCAGCGTTATGTCCACTCCTGGGAAATATACAGGGTCTACAGCAAATAAGGGCCAGCAATAATTCAAAAACAAAGAACCCCATGCTACTCCAGACAAAAAGGGTCCATCTCCAGTTCCAGAGTATTCTCTTGAGCAGAGGTAGTTCTGCCTCAAGCTTTAGTGATGCGGCATAGATCTCTGGGATGCCTGCACCAGGACTAAATTCAGCTCGTTGTTCAAGAATTATCCTTATTCCCATTACTGGTTCTGAAGCCTCTGTAATGCCCCTCATTTTTAGTCTTATGACCTGAGATTCTGAGGAATAGCCAGACAAAAGAGACACGCTTCGCAGAAAAGTTTCTATGAAGTGCATATGGGCACTCTTAAACTTTAGCATGCATGGTTGACTTGAGGTAGAGATCACTTTGCCGTCTGCTGATAGAAATTCTGCTCTTACCTAAACTCAATGAAAGAAGGGAAATCAGATTGAAAATAGAGACATGCTAAACACGATGTTACTAAAAAAAGGGTATCTAATATGAAAGACCAAAAAGTATGCGTATGAAACATTTATAATATCTCAACTCAAAATAATTAAAGAAAACTTAAACTGGGTATATGCTCCCTTGACACGCTACAGCAGGGAAATTATATGTTCCGTCATGATATTGGACCTTTGAGCTACAGAATGAAAGTTAACATAACTCTCTCATTGATAACCATATTGTCCCGCTACGCAACCTTATGGACAGAAAAGTTTCCTCTATCAATGCCTTATTAGCCATGTTGCTAGTGTAACACATGTCTGCATAAAGCTCACTCAATTACCCAACAATTAGCATTTGCAGCATAACGCAGTGACACCACATGCACCACACCTATCATGCTCAAGATTCATCTGTATGGCAAAGTTTTTTTTGTGTTAGATATCAACATTTTAGAGTAGGTGTCACATGTCCACCAGATTCCTTTGAGACCCATATTATATTAGAAGTAAGATTGTATCTTTTCTAGTGTATAATTTGTTTTGCTATTGGTCTCTCAAAAAAAAATTTCTATTGGCATGTCTTAAATTGATACAGTAATAAGTTGAGGGAAAAAACAGTATAACTATCATGCTTTATAGATGTCCTTTTGTGTTCCTAAAAATATTTAGGTTGTCATAAGAAAACTACGGCTGAGTGAAATAGTGAAAACTCAAAACATAATGTCCCCTGTTGAGAACCGATTCTACAGAACAACACATAAGCCTTTTAATCCTGCTAACTTTTCACTAAACATTTCAAATCTTCAAATTATATAACATCTCAGTGCACAACTGAGTTAACAGTTGGTATCTTCTCATTTGTGAAGTATGCTCAGGGACTATGTCATAAATTTTTACAGTTTAGAATGTTAATATGGGTTTCTAACAACATTTACTCGACACTGCTTCAATCGAATATCATTTTCCCTTTTATCAAAGGAATGACCAATGCAAAATCAATCTGACAAGGACAAACAGCAAAATGTACCTGGAAAACTCCAAGCCTCCGGTTGTAATCCGATTCAGGCAGCGTCAGGAACACCTCGAGCTGCATCCGCTGATTCGGCGGCACCAACCGCTGTACAGGAACAAATGCCACGGGGCTCGGTTTGGTGTAATCAAAATTCAGGGTCTCAGTAACCTGAATGGGCTCCTCCACAACTTTCCCCACCAAGAGCCCTCCTCCGAGGAACGCCATAACCAGAATCGAGCACAGAACAACGCAGACGTACACCGCCCAGAGCGACCCCCACGCCAGCCTCGCCACCATGCGCCCCACCCCTTCCCCGCCGCCGAGACGCGCGGCCGCGGCGCCCGTGGCGTGCCCAGCCACCTCGAGCGCCCACCCCCTCGCTCGCCGCACCAATCCGAGAGGGTCCGTCACGAGGAGGAACCACCATTGCAGCAGCCGAATCGGGAACGTGAGGCAGCTGATGAGCGCGCTGACTTGGAACACCACCGCCTTGATGACGAGCATGGCGAGGGACTCGAGAATGCCCGGCGGCGGAGGCGTCGGCGTCGGTGCCGGTGCCGGTGCCGGATTTAGCTTCGCGTCCCTCGCCTCCACCTCCCCCTCCACCTCCCCCTCCACCGCCGCCTCCGCCGCATCCTCCTCGTCTTCCTCCTCGGGAGGCGGGGGAGGACGGTGTGAGCTTGTCTCCTCGGAGTCGGGCTTGACGGCCTCGTCGACGACGGTGATGGTGGATGAATCAGAGAACGTAGGTGATGCGGCGGTGTCGTCCTCGTGCTGCTTCAGACTCCATCCGCGGCGCGGGCGGCGGCGGCGGAGGGTGGAGGAGGAAGGGGTGTGAGGAGGAGAGGGTGGGGAAGGGAGGGAGTCGAGGGCGTCGAAGAAGGAGTCGTCGGAGTCGAGGGAGGTGGAGGCGGCGGCGGCGGCCGGCTCGTCTGCTTCCATGGCCGGGGAATCGGAGGGATGGTCGTCGTCGGAGCATGGGGAGGAAGAGGATTCCGTGGGAAGGGGAAGAGGAATTGTGAACGGTGGGAGAAGAGAGAGACGATGGGCGGGGTATTTTTCAGTTACACCCTTGTTCTTAGCATCTATTTCTTCAGGTAGTATAACAAGACAGGAATTTTTGGACGAAATTCAACCGCATGGTGCTATCTGTAATTTTCGGGAGGATGGAGGGGGGTTATTCGTGATGATCCATGAATCCTCCCACGTGGCCACGTCCGGTGTTGTGTTTGTTGCCACGCTAACGCAACCCGTACCTTCGCTGGGCCAGCCGTTCCTCGTGTAAGGAGCCCAAGGTGTTGGCCTACTACACAAGGAGCCCGTCCACTCCGTGCTTGTTGCGTTTTGGGCCTGGCCCAATATTGCAAACGACGTTAGCGGGCTTCATCGCCTGGACGCCTTGTGCGATGAAGCCAACTACTCCCTCCGTTTCTTTCACACTGTAAGTTATTCTAGCATTTTCCACATTTATATTGATATTAATGAATGTCTAGATTAATTAACATCAATATAAATATGAGAAATGCTAGAATGACTTATTGTGAAACGGAGGAAGTAGCCAATTGAGGACCGTGGGTTCTTAGGGTGTGTTCATTAAATACAACAAAAATTAACCTATTATGGTTTGGTATAATATTTAAGACATGTTTAGATTGCTACTTTCTTAAAATTTGATAACAGTAAAACCTGGTAAATATAAAAATGATGGTGAAGTGAATAAGCACTTACGGTCCATGATCATGTGCACTTGAAGTGACGTGATATTTTTATTTAATATATGTGGGCTCAACAAAATATGGATCCACATGTTAATAATAAGATTGTGACTTCGAAGTCTGAGGAGCCTAACCACTATTCCGATGGTAGTAATATCTGCTTCAATTAGCTTTGCAGCAATGACTTTCATATGTAACATCTGGTTGGGATGCAAGTAAATAGTCATTTATTATTTTCTTTTACGGGAAAATAGTAGAAGAGGCTCATACTGTAAATATATTAACATGAGAGGTTTAATTACATGAGAGTTTATAGAGGGAGGAGGTATGCCCTATACAAAATTAGCCATTTACTAATTTGCAAATATAAAAGGCATGCCATATACAAGATGAGTTGATGAACATGTTATAGATACTAACTTTTTTCCTTGTGTCATTTAACCGTTTTATGAATATTACGAGCATCGTGATAAAAAGAACACGACACAACTCTAAAGTCTAAACTGCAACAATTCATTAATATGTGAACTTTAGTAATGATGACACTACATAAATAGAAATGCCTGCAAACATCGTTATATGTAGGTTTTTTTTCTCAAAACAAGGTAGAATACAAAATCTATCAAACAATAAAACAGAGACACTACTTACATGTCTTGGAATTTTGTAGTAGTTACGAGAATTCAAACACCACTACAAAGACCGACCAACTCCAGCACCCAGCACTACAAAAGCATATAGACGAGTATTTAGTCAACAAACAATTATTATATCTTCTACACAAGCTAGACAAGACCATAACACAATTTAAATTGTTCGTTTATAACAATATAAATGTTACTCACAATACACACTTCTCGTGTTGTCTATCTTTCCCTACTTAAAAAAAGACAAGCTATTTATCTATGAAAAAAGGCACAAAACTAACACATGGTTAATATGCATTTTGCATGGATATAATTTTTTTTATTTATGTATCTAAATTTAGTATCACCAGAACCGATAGAAAAAACGGAAGACGTGTAGAGAAAATGCTACTAATAAAATTATAGATAAGGTTTCTTTAAGTTGCACCACAAAACGATGGAACATGTGACTGCTAGAAGTAGAGTGCCAAGATTTGTGCAGAATTCTGCCAAGAATTTCCCCCCGTTGGCACGGGCCTCCCATTAATTGCAACCCCCGCACTCCAAAACGGCAAACAGCCGGGCAGCCAGCCAGCCATCCGGATCTATCCCAAAAACAAAACAACGCACACGCGCCCGCACACTATCCGGGCCACCGCATCGAGGGGGAAAAAAACGAGAGAGGAAAAAAAAAAGAAAAAAAACAAGGGGAGAAAAAAACCCTCCCCGTGTTCTCCGATCGGCGGCGAGGCGAGGCGAGGGCGGCGGAGATGAGGGGGGCGAAGCGGCCGCTCGGCGCGGTGATGGCGTGGGTGCGGCGGCAGCCGCCCAAGGTGAAGGCCTTCCTGGCCGTCGTCACCGGCATGGCCGCGCTCGTCTTCATCCGGTTCATCGTCCACGACCACGACAACCTCTTCGTCGCCGCGGAGGCCGCGCACGCGCTCGGCATCGCCGTGCTCATCTACAAGCTCACCAAGGAGAAGACCTGCGCCGGTTCGCCCCCCCCTCTCGGCTCACGTGTACGGTGTTGCCAGTTCCGTCGCGCGCGCGTGCGCGCGCGCGTCGATCCGTCGAGATCGCCGGATCCGCAACCGCGTAGCTCCGGAGTAGGATCTGTTTGTGGATTTTTGTGTTTCGTCTCGTCGACCGTGAAGTCGTTTCTGGGAGAATTGGCGGTTTTGCTAAGGCGAACATCTAGGAGGCGATGGGCTCTGCATGTTCTGAAATTCACTCGATCTGTTTGATTTCTGAGGCTCCTTCCTGTTTTTGTCGGAAAATGTTTCTGACAGTTCACGCTTAGTTGTGATTTTCCGCGAGCAGATTTGTATGGAGCGGGAGATACACGTATCACTGTGATGTTATAGGGTTTTGGGTACGGGAGAAATAGTTAATTGCTGATCTGCAGGTTGTGCCATCTTATGAAGCAGTGATAGTTGATTAATTCATTAGGAGATTTGGCTGCACGATGCTTTCACATGGCTGGGTAATAAGCTATATAGTCCTCTTGCGGAGGATGGTGCAGTTTGTTGAGAATTAACCAAGGAACCCGGTGTATTGTTTACCCTGTCCTGTTTTAGAAACAGAATGTAGGTATAGTCATTTAGAGAAACCAGCTATACCTATTCCTATATTTGTGCAAGGTTTCTGGAACAGAATTTTTACATTCATTTCTGGTTGCAACGGGTTGCAAACCCAGGTACCATTTTGCAATGAGTAGCATATGCCACTGAATGTGTGAATCATTACCGATACATATAAGCATATTTTTTTTTAAATTTCTTTATGATTTCATTCCATGATTATGCCCTCAGTGCTATCTGATCATCCGATTAATCATGATTAATCATCCTGATCGGTCCCCTGACTCCGATCAGGGACATTCATTCGATCAGTTCGATCAGAAATCTGATTGTCCAATTAATCGTTGATCAGGCACGATTAATCGTCCGATCAGAGCACCTATTGATCACTTTTTGAAAACGTCTTAGGGTTTAGTACATGTGAATATGTGCTACTACTGCTGGTTGCTTTATATTGTGATTGCTTTATACTAGGGCAAGTAAGTGACTATCTTGCCATCAATTATTAGTACTATGATTGTTTTATTAGTACTGGTATACATAGTACTGATCAGGTCGATTAATCGAGGCTGATCGACGATTAATCATCCTGATCAGTCCCTTGGCGATCAGGATCGATCAGCGATCAGATAACATTGATGCCCTGTCCTGTCCTGTTTTAGAAACTGGTTGTGGGTAAAGTCATTTAGAGATAGATGTATAGTTTTGTTTTGATTACTGTAAGATTGAGTTGGTTTGTTTGGAGCAATATTTTGTGCTTTGGCTGGAATAGAATAGTACTTCCTCCTTTTCTTTTTGTTTGACGTTGGAGCTCAAAATTGAACTAACCAACATCAAACATTTGGAAATGGAGGGAGTAGTATGTCACCATTCTTTTATTAGAGAAACCAGCTATTTCTATATTTGGGCAAGGTTTCTGGAGCAGAATGTTTCCATTCATTTCTTGGTTGCAATAGGTTGCAACCCAAAGTACTGTTTCATAGTTTTGTTTTGAACAAGAGAAGTGACTAATGAGTTGCATGCCACTGTATGCTCGACGATACAGAGAAGCATATGTTTGTTATAGCTTCTTTATGATTTCATTCCATGATTATGTGATTTATTTTTTCTGTATTAATGCACGGATAACTAAGAATATTAAAAGCTCGGTTATGATCGTATCTCTTGCAGGACTATCCCTCAAGTCTCAGGATTTAACTGCGTTGTTTCTAGCTGTTAGACTATACTGCAGCTTCGTTATGGAGTATGACATCCATACTGTGCTAGATACTGCTACACTTGCAGCTACACTTTTTGTAATCTACATGATCCGGTTCAAATTGAGACCAACTTATATGGTGGACAAGGACAATTTTGCATTGTACTATGTGGTAAGAACCACTGAACTTCTATTACATATAACATACATGTTTAGGTTGATAAGCATAATCTGGCCGGGGTGATGGTCTTACAAAATTATATTGTAGTTTGACAGACTAATACGAAACTTCTCATAAGTTTCTAGATCACCATTTCGTTTTTGCTTTTTCTAGATAATGATAGCTCTATTTCTCAGGATTTCTGATATGTGAGTTATGTGGTGAGTTTACCAAACTAACTGGCACTTTGATTTTGTTGTAGTTATTGGCTCATTAAGTATTTATCTATAAGTAGTTGTTGTTTCGCATTCTGACGACTCAACAAAATACAAACGTTAAGAGGAAGTATCACTCTGGTTGTCTTGTGCCGCATAAACTGCTGAAGACGTGATGTACTTATGTGAAACCTTGTAGATATCAGTCAGTAATGGGTCTGTAGAAGTGTTATCACTTTATTTATTACTCACTGAAAATGCTGAACCCATAATGTGTGCCAAACTGTTTTGCTTGTGAAGTCAGCTGTAATGCTCATAAATCTCTTAGTTAAAATGGATGCTTACTTATCGGGTTCTTTTATTTATTACTTTTTTGAAGGTGGTACCTTGTGCTGTGCTAGCACTGCTTATTCATCCTTCAACATCTCATAACATTGTGAACCGTATCAGCTGGGCATTTTGTGTTTACTTGGAAGCTGTCTCAGTTCTACCACAGCTGCGTTTGATGCAAAACACAAAGGTAAATAGCATGCATTTTCCTTGACTGCAGGGGCGAAGTTTCCTGAACATGTTTTCCATCTTTTGCAGATTGTTGAGCCGTTCACAGCACACTATGTGTTTGCATTGGGAGTTGCAAGGTTTCTTAGCTGTGCACACTGGGTTCTTCAGGTTCGTCTTCTAAACAAACCCCAAGCTTACTTTTATATGTGTTCCCCTGTTTATTGATTTTGTCATTACTTTCTTTGTTTCTTCTGTACCATACCCAGCGCACAGAATCCCAACACTTAATTTACAATAATGTTTTTTTTTTGAGGTTTGGCATTTCTTGTCTGTTTTATGGTAGCCGTTCTACTTTGATAAATGACCTTATTATGTTAGTTTTCTCAACTCATGTACTTTAGAGGTATCATCAATGAACAACCTGGTCATGATGCTTCCTTGTTTACCTTGATTTGTTTTTTCTAGTATAATTGCATCATCTTAAAAGCTCTTTTTTTAATGGTTAAGGACATCTTGGGGAAATTTCTGTACTTGTTCATTCAATAGTTGTTACTCATGGGTTTTCAGAAACAAAAAACTATCCACAATGTTGAATTTGACACTTTATATATGCATGGAATTTATGTTAATTTAAAGACAACAAATTCATCCTGCAGGTATTGGATACTCGTGGTCGATTGTTGACTGCTCTGGGCTATGGCTTGTGGCCATCTATGGTGCTTCTGTCGGAAATCGTGCAGACATTCATCCTTGCTGATTTCTGCTACTACTATGTGAAGAGGTACATTTAGGGTCACTAGTTTAACTATTTAATTTGATTGTGAACTTCATCTAATGCATGTTTGCTGGGTGCAGTTTGGTCGGTGGGCAGCTGGTGCTACGGCTTCCATCTGGGGTGGTGTAAGAACTGTAGAAGGATACAAAGCTTCCAGCTTCACCCATTTTTATGTACTCTGAATAACAGTTATGTTCTAGTGTCCGACCTTCTGTGTCTCTTACCAAGACCGAGACCGGAGCCTTTTTTTTACTTGATATTTTGAGGTATAACTATTAATGACAAGTGCACTAGAGTCTTCTTAAACATAGGTCGTTGAATGACTGTTTATAGTTGCGAATGTGCTGATACTTTGGTTCAATTTAGCTTCTGGGTACATGGTTGTCGTGATTTTACAATGGGAAGTTGGCGTGTGAACTGATGATGGTGTCTTTTGATTATGTTCGTGTTTGCAATGTGGTATTCCAGTCCTGGTAAAATGAGCCATGGTCTTCAGGCCCCATTTTTAATTACAACAATTTTGTAGTAGGAACTATATTGCTTACCGGGCAAAGCTACAGAGCGATTCTTGTGGTACGAATTTTTGTTTGCAGAGAAGTTTCATAAAGATCGCCTAGTCGTGTTACATTGAACATGTGGGGATCGTCAAAGCCGCCCCGTGCTAGTCCACTCAACATATTGTACGCACTGGTTTACTGACTGGTTATGTGCATACGCTACGTTATCTGGTTGAATTTAGGGAGTTTATCAGTTGCCTCATGCTTAGTAGCTTGCATCTCACATCAGTTTCGTGTGCAAATCCTTTTGTTTGTTGACCAAACCAGAATACGGCCGGGCCTGAGAACTAGCGAAAAGAAAAGTTGACGACGACCCTGCTTGTGTCTTGCCAGTTCATTTTGAAAAGCTGACTGGGATTAAGTTTCATCAAACACGCTTGCATTATTTGGTCCCCATTGTTAAAGGTTTACCTTCTTTGCTTCCGCAGGAACGCTCTGTAGCGGTATTCTACAGACAACTTATCAGAAAAGGAGTTATCTATCCAACAAGGCAAAATTTACTATAGGGCACCAAAAAATTACGGTTTTTGCTATGAGACATCCGAAGATCGTGAATCTTTTCGTGGACACTGTAAAAAAGTGGACACTCCTCCTATTATTTTATTATTTCCAGTCAAAATGGAGAGAGAAAGAGTTATGTAAGTACCAAAATGCACCTGCTCTCTCTCTTCTCTTTTCCCCTTTTTCTTCCTCGCGCTTAGTACTGAGCCGAGCAGACGCGTGACGCGCGCAGCCAACGCTGCCGGCTCGAGCCGGGACGGCTCGGCCACGGCGGGGCGGCGGCGCATCGCCGGGGTTCACCGCCGACGGCGACGACGCACGGCGGCATCCCGGCGCACGGCATGGCGATGCACGGTGGCACCGAGCTCTCAGGGAGCTCGGCGGCGGCGCAATGGCGACTGGCCCGGCAGGGATACGGTGGCGCGTGCCTCAAATCGAGGGTGCCGCGGAGGGGTGGTGAATGCCGCCGGACCAGTTGATGGTGATGTCAAAGTCGCCGTCGACGAGCGATAGCGATGATGTTGACGTCCTCGACTTGCAGGACGTGCTCCAGCGATTCGGGTTTCATACCATCTGTATGGTGGCGTTCGGGCACGACCTGCCCTGCCTCGCCGACGGCGGGGTCATGGAGGATGCCAGGTCGGATTTCATGCACTCCTTCGGCGAGGCGCAGAACCTTGTCGTCGGACGCTTCTTTGATCTCATCGAGGTCTCCTGGAAGATCAAGAAGTGGCTCAACGTCGGCACCATACGCCGTCTGAGGAAGGCCATCGCCGACGTCCACACCTTCGCCATGGACATCGTCCGCGCCCGGCGCCAGAGCGCGTCCGTGCAAGACAGAGACGACGTCCTGTCGAGGTTTGTGGCGAGTGACGAGCACAGTGACGAGGTCCTCCGCGACATCGTCCTCAGCTTCCTCATCGTCGGCCGTGACACGACGGCGTCGGGGCTGAGCTGGTTCTTCTGTCTCTTGTCGTCCCGGCCGGACGTCGTGGCGCGCATCGCCGACGAGGTCCGCGCGGTGAGGAAGCCGACCGACACACGCCTCGGCGAGCCGTTTCGGTTCGATGCGCTCTGGGAGATGCACTACCTCCATGCCGCACTCACGGAGTCGATGCGGTTGTACCCGCCGGCGTCAGTCGTGCGCGGCGGACGACACACTCCCCGACGGCACGCTCGTCCGCGCCGGTTGGTCCGTGACGTACAGCGCATACGCCATCGAGCGAGGACTGCTTGGAGTACAGGCCGGAGCGGTGGCTCGGCGAGGACGGCGTGTTCCAGCCGGCGAGCCAGAGAAAGAGAGATGCCGGCGAGCCAGAGAAAGAGAGATTGACAAGTGAGCCCGTGGGCATAATTTTTTCAGTAGAAGATCTTGCCATACTCCTCCTTCATGACATAACCTAAATAACCGTTTTCTTAGCAAACACTTGCTCTGTAATTCTAGATTCTGAATGTCAAGGCCGCCGCACTCCTTTAGCTTGCATGGAACACTCCATTGGTGTTTACCCCTTGCCCCGTACCCACAGGTCCCACATCCATGCGTACCACCATATGTCCCCTTCCCCTCTCCTCTAGTGATGGCAATCAGCGCTTTACCTCTTGCATTTTCGTACTAATTATCGAGGCTTCCATGGCTAAATATTAGGTCAAATAGGCCCAAACCAGTGCATCCTCGAATGCATGTTGGACTTAAGACGAGCAATCATGGAGAAAGTCTAATGGTAAGAGAGGTAAAAAAGAGGTAAGGGTTTGTTAGGTTCAAAATTTTTGGCCTAACAAAATTACCTTGCAACTGTTGGCGCTACCAAGTTTTGGTAGCATAGAATTTCCAATTACTATAGGAAAAAAACTAGTAGCATACCAAACATTTGTCGATATAAAAATTAGCTTCAATCCAAATAATCTCACAGTTTATTTTTTCTTTTACATGAAAAGATGGAAAAAGACCATCATCATCATATAATAGAGTAAGCTAGAGCAGTACTCTCTCTGTCCCCATAGAAAACAACCTAGTACCGATATGACACATCTTAAATTTATAGTACTGCAATGTCATATTTGGTTCTATATTCGTTTTTTATAGGACGGATGGAGTTCAGTTAAACAGGTGGAAGCAGAAAGCGCTCGAGGACAGTTCGTGTTTGCGCCATTAGCATATTGGCCCTCCATCGATGGAACTCATAAAGCAAGATTATCATAGGAATGATCACTATGAAGGCCACGGCCACAAGCACGGCTAACGCTCCATTCAAGTAGTTGTTTTCGCGGAAGAAAAGGCCAGCCACGCATAAGAACAGCACACCGAGGACGAACAAAAACGCCACATAACCGATGTTCCCCTTGGTCGACCCGACGTATTGGTAGGTCGCGTGAACCTCGGCGATGGCCGCCGCGATCCTGTCGACGTCGCCCTCGCCCAGTCGCTGCGACGCCAGCAGCCTCGGCCGCCACTCCGGCGGCATTGCTCCCGCCGCGAACGCCGCGTCGATCTCATCCTTGATGTTGCTAGTGCCGCTGCCGCTGTTGCTCATGGTGATCGATGCCTCTGAACTGAATTGCTGATGAATGGATATGATGGTTTTGCATGTATCAATCGATTGTCTTCTTTCTGCGTCCCTGCGTACTATTCCTTCCTTCCAGGCAGATTTTGTTGCGATACCTCCGCCTAGGGCAAATTTATAACGCGTGCTGCCATATTCAACTCGGAATATTCGTGCAAAAAAAAATCCAACTCGGAATAGTTGTTGCAACTAAAAAAGGTTACAGTACGTACTACCGTGAATCCGAGCCCGATTGCCGTTTACGCAATGGGCCCATCGTTCTCCTTGACTAGTTGCTGAGTCTGAATCGTATCTTTGAACCGCACAATACTCACGACCCCCCCAACTATTAAACGGTGCAATTTAATTTTTAGACGTTTTTGAGGGGTGGTTTTTGCTAACGTGACGTCATGTGAGATCCACATGTCATCATCTGTTTCTCCTTCCCTTCTTCCTCCTCCCTCTCTCTCTCTCTCCCCTTTCCCTCTCTCTTTCTCTCCCCTTTCTCTTCCCCTTAGTCCGTCTACGGGGGGTGGGGAGCAGGGAGCGGGGCTGGAGCGCCGACGGAGGAGGTGTAGGAGATTCCAGGGCGATGATGGCGTGGGCAGTGACGGTACCAGAGCTGGTTGTGGGCACAAAGCCACAAAGGCAGTGGACGAGGTCGATACGCCAGCGGAGGTGGAGCGGGATGGTGGCCACCATGGCAAAGAGGGAGGAAGTTGGCGCATGAGAGGGTGGCAAGGTGATGGCGAAACGGTCTAGTGGCCCGAGGTGACACGGGCAACGGGATCGTGGTAGAGTCAGCAGTTACTCTGTCACGGGGGATCAAACCCAACCCAACTACGTGGATGGATCCAGCGAGTGTCGAGGGTCGAGCTCCCCTGTGATGATTGGCCGACAGCGTGACACCGGCACAGTGTGTGTCGAAGGCTTTCGATGGTGGTGGTAGCGGAGTGTGCAGTAGTTTAGTTCTTGGGAGGGGTGAAAATTTGGGCGAAAGCTCTGCCTTCGGGCTGGCAACAACGACGCATGCGGGTGCCGCTTTCCTTTTGGGGTGTTGCTGCATTTTCTTGTCTCTCCCAATTACTTTCTTCAGGTGAGAACCTTGTCCTGGCTCCCCGGGACAAGCAGCGGAGGCGCTCTTGTTGTCGTTCCCTTCTTAGAGGCATCGTCTTGAAGATCTCCTGTTTCGCTCTTGCAGCGGGTATTGTTGTAGACGCGTAGTGCGGTTGTTTTTTTTTCTTTTTTCCTGACTATAGTCTTCCAGACTATAAACTTGTATTTTTCTCTTGCTATATCAATACTTGAAACTTGTCCTGTCTTATACTGTTCGTTTCGAAAAAGAAAGAGAGTTTTCAATATCGAGGTGAAGGACAGCGTAGCGCAATTTTATCCTCCTCTCCATTTACACACGGTCGAGTACGCGAAGCGAGAGCCAGGCCGTCGCTCCATGCTAGCGTCTGATTGATACCTTCTCCCTCGCTAGCAGGTGTTCGATGGGGAAAAATATTTGGTGGAGACCGGCTGCAAACAGCTCCTGTGCAGCCCCACCCCCCGATGATTGCCATGTGGACTCCCGCAGGATCGGACGTCTCGCTCGTTACGTCTTCCGGTGCAATACAAATAGTATGGATCTGTAGGGTTTCTCTTACTGTCGGAGGTGGAGTTACCGCACTCTGGCGATTAGCATAGTTACCGTATGGTAACCACGGTAACCGTGGCAAACCGTATAGAATTTATCACAAAATTAAATTAGTTTATAAATTTATTTGATGTTAATGGGTTATCACGGTTTTATTTTGTTGTGCCCCGACGGTAGGCGTGATTATTTTTTGTAGGCGTGATTATCGTGTGGGTACCACTGGTTTTGTAAACCTCGGTGTGTATGAGCCTCGCTTGACTCGGCTCACGAGCTCAAATCCATCGCTGATCGGCATCTCTCCTCTGTAGCCGCAGCCGCCGCCTCTCTTGTCAACGTCTACTGTGTCTCGTCCGCCGCTGCAGCCTTTCTCTTCTCTCGTCCGTCATCCGCTTGGCGGCGATGGCGAGCGCGAACACCTCTCGTTGGTTCAGGTTCACACCTTGTTGACAATGGACACCACCCACTATACTGCAGCAGGTCACCACCCATGCTATTGCCAGCGGGAGATTTGCCAGTTCAGAGCTTGAGGATGATGATGCCCATGCTGTACTGTAAACGTCAGTCTTGGCACACTCGCCTTCTTGAGACTGCACGTCATGCCATCCGAAAATGTTAGTGGCACTATCATTGCCATCCGAAAATGTTAGTGGCATTAGATTTTTGGGTGCATGCAAAACGAGATAAACCATTAGCGTATAATTAATTGAGTTTTAATTATTACAAGAATGTGGATTTATTTGGTATTTTAAAGCAACTTCTATATAGAAAGTTTTCGTACTAAATGTGCCTTTTAGTAATTTGAAAAGCGTGCTAACGAAAACCGAGATAGAATTTACATATTTATCAAAAAAGAACATGACCAAGTATGCAGAATTTTTTTTGGGAATATGCAAGAAACACATCTTTGTATTAAGAGAAATAAATGTTATTTATAAACTGAACAAACGAAAACTTGAAGCGGGACGGGATACCTGAGAGGTACAACAAAGGACTTGAAGCTATAATCTCACAAACGATGGTGACGGCCTAGGGACTCCTGAAACTAGAGACCAAGCGCCAGCACTGCCACCCTGGCCAGGCGCCATAACTCTGCTTCTACAGCCATAGCTTTCGCTACTTCCGCCTAGGGCCGCTGCTGGAGATTGAACACCCAACTCTTTATTTCCTTCCAGATCATCCAGGTGACCAGCGTTGCAATAGTATGAAATCCCCATCAGAGATCCTTCGCGACTTTCTTCCTACTTTCCTACTGGTGCAAAGCCACTGATGGAAGGAGGCAGGCCGACTGATTAATCACCCTAAGAACCCACCATCAGAGGTGTCGGGATTCCGGGCAAGCGACCAAGATGTGATCTATTCTCTTCATGCTGGTCGCATAGAACACAGCGGATGGGGTGGGGGAGCCCCCAACGGAGTAGACGATCAGCAATCCATCATCTATTCATCATATTTTCAGTTCATATAGATGCATGAACCCCAAGAGATGTACTTTGAGTGCGGAGCAAATTTGTTTAGAGCCAGAAAGCATAATAATGCCAGCAAAGCACTGCTGTTAAACAAAAGTCTGCCATTTAATTTACCATTTTTTCACATGTGTTGATCTAATTAAAAACTGCGTTAATTCCTTTAACTGAGCATGAAACTCTATTACTGAAATGTGTGCACTGACCAAGTAACCATGAAGAAATGAAATGCTCAATTTAGTAATTGCTATGGGATATGTTTATTCTTATGGCTAAATAAAATATACCAGTCTCCTAAATTTTTAGATGTATCAAATCTACATGATGAAAGGTTAAATCAATATTAGCATTGTTAGAATCTGCAAATGTTCAGACTACGCATCTTCTGAAATGTAGCAGTTAACAACTACTCCCTCCGTCCCAAAAAAAAGACAAACCCTGGGTTTCCGTGTCCAACGTTTGACCGTCCGTCTTATTTGAAAAAATTATGAAAAAAATTAAAAGGATAAGTCACGCATAAAGTATTAATCATGTTTTATCATCTAACAACAATGAAAATACTAATTATAAAAAAATTTCATATAAGACGGACAGTCAAACGTTGGACACGTAGATCCAGGGTTTGTTTTTTTAGGACGGATGGAGTATAATAGTTGGGATGTAGAAGCCCAAATTGAACTAGCTAATCAAATCAATCTTGATCAATCATGTAATCCCGCACAATGCTAGGAAGAAGCAAGCCGTGGAGAAATTGGGAGAAGCTGCCGTTGTGCAGGAAGTCTAAGGTTATATTTAGTAAAGCTCCAACTACTAAACCCAGCTCCACCCTACA